GATTCAGCTGCCAACCACAGAGATCTCATGCAATTTTCTAATTAAGGAGACCTGGAACTTCATTTGGAGATAAACAGGAAATGCTTAAGATAACGATTATAAACACTGAAACGAGATTTTTCTCTTCATGACACTCAGATGGAGACAAATGCCAACCTAAAGCCCAAGCACAAAGAAGACTCTGCCCTGGCCATAAATATTTCATATTTCAGTGCTGTTTACCACTTTTTTTTCAAATATCTTTGCCAAAGACAACAAGCACTGCAAATAAATAACACTTAGCAAATTTAACTTCTTTTAAAGGATGTTTGGGTGAGCCAGAAATTTTCAAACACTGGGGTCATGCTCCTTCTTTTTTTTCTCCACACAAGAACTAGAAAAACATTAAAGAAGAATTTCTTTGATATTAAATGGCACTGTAGGGTTAATGTTATATTGATGGAAGTATTTTGGACTTAATAGGGACGAGTGCACTCTTGTTTCATCACTGGATGCTTTAAAAAAGCTAGTTTCAAAGTACTAACAACAAAAAATGAAGAAGTAGAAGAACTTCCTCAAGTAATAATTCACAGAATGCTTCTGAGAAAGACCAGAATCAGTGGATAATGCTTCAGCAGGAAAAAAAAAAAAAAAAAGGAATAACTTGGACCATTCCCCTTTTCCATGAAGTATTACTAGAAGTTATTGCTTTCCAGCAGGTTTTCCCTGTACAGATAAACGGAGGCAGCTCCTCCTGTACAACAATCCAGTAACAGGCATTTTAACATAACTCACTTTAATGTAATAATTATGTTACAGCCACTCCAATTCCAGCTCAAGACTTACACATTGCCAAGTGGCTTGAAGAAACACTAAATATAGTTCAGCACAGAAACTTTCATGCAGGACATGAGCTATTAAAAGCCATGTTCCAAACCCCGTGTGAGTCACAGCAATGCCATGAGTACAGGCCCTGGAAAAACCTATTTGTACACGAGGAGTTGCATTTGGACAGTGGGAAAAGAGCACAGAAGTGATGGTAGGTCATCTTCTTGCATAAAAGCAGAGCTTTCTGAGGCAGTTTGTGGTCTCTTCCAGATTTCTAATTAGTCAGAGCTGTCTGTCCCTGGTTTAAATTACTGCAAGAGCCTCGGGGCAGATCGAGTATCTCTCCCAGTAAAGGCAGTAAGAATATCCACCTGTCTGATCTTGGGTGACTTCACCAGACCTAAGCCTCCCACACCACTTGTCTGGAATCATTTTAATCTGAATGGTACGCTGGTGACTGCACATAAAAGATGGAAAAAGAACCTGATGGCAACAAGAGCAGCAGCTGGTCCCCAGGGGCCGGGCAGCCCAACTGGTGTGAGACTGTCACAGCCTGCAATGCCATTAATTACAGCCCGAGTTCTGTGAGCAAACAGCACGATCCAGACCCTCCGTGGGCTCATTCCTCATGGAAATTACTCTGCTATGTACTCCAAATGCTTATTAGTGTATCAGTGCAAAGCTTTGATGACAATAGCTCTGAAGGTTTATTTTCATTAGGGATGACTGCAGCTTAAAGGAGAATATTCCCGAGCTTCTAATCAAATCTGTCTCCTTTGTAATTTATAAAAGGGTATGAAAACTAAGACAAGCACTCATAGATATCTGAAGAATTACCTTGCTGACATCATACATCACATAATTACTTTAATTTCTGAGCCTAACACTCAGCTGCTCTGCTGGAGTGAGGATCTGCTCCGGAAGCGTCCCAAGGACAGGTACAAAGGTACAAACAGCAGGGGAACCTCCCCTCCCCAGATCTGTGAGACAGCACGGACTGAAACACAGCCCACAGCTCCATTTCACAGGGCCCTGTGCCCAGGCCAAGCACACACACAACTGTTCTCAGGGGATGTGAGCCATGGTCTTCAGGAGAGAGGAAGGTTTAGAGGAATTAGTACATAAATCCCATTAAAAGCGATCCCAGCACGTGGCCTCTAAGGAATCACAGACCACCTGAAATTCATCAAATTCAGAATTAAGGTTATTCCTTTCTTCTCCACTCCCTCCCCAATTTAGTTTTGCAGCCCATCTAAAACTTGCAAGCTGTTTCCAGCTGGATTTGGGATGTAGCTCAAGACAAAGCCAGCTCTGAGCTGGCTCCTCTGGGTGATCAGCTGTGTGCCTGTCGTGGGCAAGGTGCCACTTTATTCCCATGCATTAATTCAGCTCGTGTGGAACTAATGATTTCCTGGCAAGCCCTGCCTCTGCTCACCTGCATGCTCAGCCCTGCTTTTTGGGAATTATCCTGGCTGGATTCGAGAGCCTTCACAATAGCATGAGCACCAACACATCCCAAGACTCACTCACTGCTCCAGCTAAGGCTGCCCTGAGAAAATTGTGATGCCACCTCCAGTGACAGGTTCTGTCTCAGTCACCTGGCCCACACTCTGACAGTGACTGATATTTTACTTTTCAGGTTTCCCGGAGCTCGAGCTGTTCCCCTCAGCAGCACTGACAACAAATCTGGCAGATATATAAAATATAAAGTCCTCAACAGCAGACTGAACACTTGTCTTAAGGCAGCCAACCACATCCACGAGACAATTGCAGCAAAATATTTAACACATCTATTAATTATTGTGGAATCCTGTTCCACTCAGCTAATCCCCTCTTTAATTAGTTTCCTACATGTATTTCACAACTCCCTATAATCCTATCCATGGACTCACAGGCTTCCCATAAATGCCATTCCTTGGCTTTGATGGAGCTCTTGCCCATCTTTTCTTATTTTCCACACTAAAGTGTTACTTCCCTGATCCCAAATCACACATGTGGGATCCAAGGCCAAGGATGCCAACCTTGGAAGCGGGCTGGGAGAAGGGCAGTGTCATTCCCACCTTCACCCCTGAACTATTTCAAACAGCCCTTCATTGAAGAGCACAAACCCAGGCAGAGCCGCATCCCTGAGGCACGGCCGAGCTCTGCTGACCTCCTGGGGAAGTGTCTGCTCTCCACACACCCAGTGATGAGGGAAAAAACCCTGAATGGGGGAAAAGCAAAGCAGGAGGAGACACCCCTTCCAAACACACCACCAGGAAACACGACAGCCAGCTAGAGGTGACACCCAGGGGGACGTCCCAGGGAGGGTAAGTGGGAAGGGGCAGCTCCTCCAACATCCCTGAGCACCCCAAGTGAGGGGGGATGTGACCCCTCAGCACAGATCCCAAACTGCTCCTCTTGTGGAGCAGCTTATTCCTCTACAGGACCCCCCAAGGGCGTCCAGGCTCTTGAAACACTGAGCCATCACCTCCTCAAGCAGTTCCAGAACTAGCGGGTCCCTCTCTGCAGGGCCTGTCTCCTCATCCTGCCCCAGCATAAAAAGCTAATAAATGAGTTAACCAACTCAATACAACATATAAAACTGCCTGCAAGATCCCACTGAATGCCTTCCAAGAGCCCTGCAGTACTTCTCAAACCACATTTGAAAGCCTCAGCCCTGATATTTGCAAGTGAAACCAGTTAAAATTTGCCCCCACTACACGGTTTTACAAGGACCCTGATGAGTACAGGAATGCTTGGCTAGTACAAGAAATGTAAGGAGCTGAGTAATATGAAATATTTGCAATTAATATCAAGCTTACAAAAACACATGACTCGGCATCATTTTAAAAAGTTCAAAATGAAAAACAATGACAGCACTGTCCGTGTTTTAATGAAACCAGGAACCCCCCACCCCACATGCTCAGACTGCCAGGGCACCCCAGACTCCCTGGCACAGCTGTGTGAGCAAGAACCTGCCCAGACACCACACCCCGAGCACCCCACGGTGCCACTGCCCTCACCTGCCCACGGCCAAAGGTCAGTGCCAACCTCCCCACACACCCTGCTCCAAACACTGCTCCACAGCTCAGCTGCATTTTCCCCTGGGAGCAGAAAGCACCCCGAGCTGTTTATCCTACTCAGTACAACCCAGATTACTCGAAATTCCACTTGGGATTTGGAGCTGAGGGGCTGACACATGCAAACGGGGAATGCCAGTAAATCCCTCCAACAACGTAAAAAAATCCATTAGTTGATATGGAATGAGAGGATGGAGGTTGGGTGGGAAGTTGTTCCCTTTTCCTAGCAAAACAAACCTATTAAAAATTTACTCCTTGGGCTTTATTAGCTGACACACCTGCCCTGGTTTGCGAGGGCCCCGAGGAAAACAAACACCCTGCTAAGGGAGTTACTGGAGAGGATGCCACCAAAATACACTCAGATAATAAATGAATTTATACTCTCAGTATCAGCACAGGCTTTCAGTTTACACTTTCAGTATAGATGCAAACTTTCAGATTAAATCTCTACTAAAAGCAGAGAAGAGTTTCTGGGGGAAAATACTGACTTCTACTAGAAACCCAGTGCAGTGATATCTGCACGTTCAGCTCACGTGTCTGGGCACAGATTTATTTCCACAGACCCAGGTCCTTCCCAGACTCCAACAGCTGGAAATTGGTGACAACTGTACCTACAGGGCTCCTGTTACTTTTGTTAAAATTAAGTCCCGGGGGAGGCACTCCCCAGGAAGCATTTCTTTAATGTGAGAAAGAGCGAGAAACAGACCGAATACCTCAATGTTAACGCGGAGAGAAAGGAAACGAAACTCGCCAAAACCCAGACAGGAAGAGCCCGATGCAAATGGGCCTGCGGGGCTCGGCGGGGGGCTCGGGGACCCCCAGGGCTCTACCGAACCCGCCGAGAGAGCCAGGTCCGGTGTGACCGGGGGCAGGGCAGGGGGAGCGCCCGGGGCCGGCGGGGACCGACCGACCGACCCACGGCGACCGACGGACCGACCCACGGCGACCGACGGACCGACCCACGGCGACCGACGGACCGACCCACGGCGACCGACGCACCCACCGCCCAGGGCAGCGCGTCCCGTCGCTGCTTCAGCCCCGAGTGGCCGCAGCCGCCCCCTCCCGCTCGCCCCGAGCCCACAGCGGCTGTTCCCCGCGCGGAGCCCCCGCCGCGCCCGGCCCGGCCCGCACCTGCCCACGGTCTGGTTGGCGAGCTGCTTCATGCGGTTGAACTGTTTCTTCATGGCGGCGGCCGCTGCCGGGGCTCCCCCGGCGCCGCTGCTCCCCCCGGGCTGCCCCGGCCCCGCCGCTCCCGCCGCCGCCCCAGCGCCGCCCGCCCGGCCCGGCCCCGCCCCTTCCGGCCCCGCCCGCCGCGCGTCACCGGCCCCGCCCACAGACCGGATGTCCCGCCCACGGACCGGATGTGGCAGCTCCTCTCCGCCACGGCGGTGCCTCCGGCGCTCTCTCGGGAGCCTCGGGCGCTGCTGCTCTCTGCGGGGCGGCCGAATCGGGCTCTCTGCTCGGAGTACCCGTCCCGGGACAGCCCCAGCCCCGCGTCCGCGCTGGTACAGCCGAACGTCCCCGGGACTACAGCTCCCGGCGTGCCTTGCGGTTTTCCCGCCGCTTCCTGGGCGGGGCGCTGCGGCCTGCGCGCTCTCATTGGGTGTTGTGGGGACGGACAAGCCCACGGACCAATCGCTGCCGAGCCCCGGCGGAGGCGGCCCAATGAGCGGCGGCGGGGGGCGGGCCGCAGGGGCGGTGGCAGCGACCGGGCCCCGCGCGCTCCATGGCGGCCGCCGGCGGCCCCGACGAGGCGGACGAGGCGGTTCGCGGCACCTGCGAGGACGCGTCTGTCTGCAAACGGTACCGGCCTGGGGAGCGGGCGGGACGGGCACCTCCGCTCTGTCCCCGCGCCGCACCGGGGCGCTGCTGGGTCGGGGAGCGAAGCACGGGCGGCTCCCGGGAAGCGGCGCTGGAGGGGAGCGGGAACAGCCCCGTGCGGTGCCGGTGCCCCGGGAGAGCAGAGCTGGTGCCGCAGGGTGCGGAGGTGAACTCCCCGTGTGAGGGCGGGGTGTGCCCCGAGTGGTGCCGCAGCCCCTTGGTCGTGTCTGAGCTCGGTGATAAAGCAGCGGACGGGGGTAGCCAGCACCTCACAGCGGGGTCAGAAACTCCGGTAACGTTGGATATCTGTGAGGAAAACTGTCTCCATACATTTCAGGTTTCTTTCTTTGCCCCCTGTAGGGCGGGCGCGGCGAGGGGATGAGTTGGTTGCCCTCTTGTGCCTGGGCGTGGATTTAACTTGTGTGGTCGCTCTTGGGTTTTGCAGCAGGAGGTTGCTGGGTGGGTGAATTTGGCTTGAGAATTTCCCTTTTTGAATCGTTTGTAAAACCAGTGGGTTCTGTTAGAACAGAATAACACTCGTCTGTGTTAAAGTGCTGTGTTTAAGCTTTGGAATAAGTGCAAACAGCTCGTGGCATAACAAGGGGTGGAAGTAAAGCCTGATTTGTGCTTGTCTGAGGACCTGGAGACAATTCCCCTGTTGGGTCCTCCAGGAGGAAACAGCTGAGATTCAGGTCTTTGCCCACAAAATTTTACCCAATAGCACAGAGCCCATTAAAAAGTTGCTTCTTTAGTATGGCAACAGCCAGATTTTCTAACTACTTTATATAATCTCTTAATTGAAATGGTTCCACATATGGAACAGATTTTCAGTCTATGTCTGCATGTGCACACCCAGGGCAGAGGGACCTTACCAGTCTCTGTATCTTTTGGGGTACACAGGCTTTTAGGGTACACCAAGGTGTACCCTTGGTGACCTTATTTCCTAATCCTTTCTTTTCCCCACTCCTGGACAGGTTTGCTGTCAGTGTTGGCTACTGGAAGGACCCTTACATCCAGTATTTTGTGAGACAAGCCAAGGAAAGGAAAGCACCTGAGATCAATAGAGGCAAGTTGGAATGGGGATGGAGACACTGAACTGGTCTTGAGGCTGACAAAACCCCTGTGCACTGGGTGTTAGGGGGGTAGGGAATACAGGAAAGAGTGAGACAAGAAATAATTCCATATTGCAGCTGATCTTTTAAATATTATTTTGTAAATCAGTGCTCTCATCCTTTGCTTTCTGTGTTCTAAATGGGATGTGACTGTGTGTCTCAGTGTGCAGAAATCTCCTCAAAGCAGTCAGAAATGTTTCTTTGACCCAGGACAGCTGGGTATGTCAGCTCTGGTCTCTGCAAGTGTGGGCACCAGCCAGAATTATTTTGCTCTGTTTGAGGTGAAACTTGACTAAAATGTCTATTTACCCAATGAATTGTGTTTTATCAGTGCATCAGATTTTGTTAGAAATTAAAAAAGAAAAACAAAAGCCCTTAGGTATCTTAAAAAGAGGGCATTACTCTTGCTAAGAAACACCATTATTCAAACAGGCTACCAGAAATTCTTCAGGAGTGTTAAACATCAAGTATTACATAAAAATAATAATTAAACCAAAGCTTTTGTGTGTGTTAACAGGTTATTATGCTCGTGTTCATGGAGTCAGTTATCTGATTAAAGCTTTTCTAAAGAAGACAGAATGCAACTGTCAAATTGTTAACCTTGGGGCTGGCATGGACACCCTGTTCTGGAGACTGAAGGTGAGGAGAGCTGAGGTGACAGGCCTGGCTGAGGACTGAGATCCATGGGGAGGTTTGAGCTGCCCCTCTGTGCTTGTCAGTGCTGAGTTCTGTCACCCAGGGGGAGGTGGGCAGGGAGGCAGCACTGCACAGGCTGTCACAGAGTCACAGAGTAGCTGGGGTTGGAAGGGACCTCTGGAGACCACCCAGTCCAACCCCTGCCCAGGCAGGGTCACCTGGAGCAGGTGACACAGGGACTGTCCAGCTGGGTTGGAATGTCTGCAGAGAGGGAGATTCCACAACCCCCTGGGCAGCTGTTCCAGGCTCTGCCACCCTCCAGGGAAAGAAGCTCTTCCTCGTGCTGAGGTGGAACTTGTGTTTTAGTTTATGGCCATTGCTCCTCGTGCTGTCACTGGCACCACTGAGCAGAGTCTGGCACCATCCTCTGGCACCCCTGGAGATATTTGTCTGGATTGATGGGATCCCCTCTCAGCCTTCCCTTCTCCAGACTAACCAGGCCCAGCTCCTGCAGTCTCTCCTCAGCAGAGAAATGCTCCAGACCCCTCACACCTTTGTGGATGGACCCTCTCCAGGAGCTCCTTGTCTTTCTTGGAGGCCAGATGTGGGCACAGCACTCCAGATGTGCCTCCCTGGGGCCGAGTAGAGGGGCAGGATCACTCCCTCACCCGCTGGCCACTCTTCCCATGCCTCCCAGGATCCCAATGTCTGGCTTCTCTGCCTCAGTTCTCTGCTTGTTTAGAGTCAGTTCAGGTGCTTTCAAACCTCAGAGCTCGGGAGGGGCTGTGGTTTGCCCTGGCTCTTCCCCAGGAGTGTGTGACACCGAGCTGACCTCTAGTGGGCTTCCAGGAACAGCAGGAATGCCACGGTTTGCTGTCCTCTTTCAACCTTTAGATTTCACTGTTTTATCCTATAACAAAACAGGAACAATGTACCAAAGCACAGGATTGTACAGCTCTGTGTACATGTTTCTGAATGAACTGTATAAATGTGAGTTTACATATGTAAATCACAGAATCCCAGACTGGTTTAGGTGGGAAGGGACCTTGAATATCATCCAGTCCCCAGGGAGGTTGGACTGGATAATCTCCAGAGGTCCCTTCCAACCCCAACTGTTCTGGGATTCTGTGATTACATAAAATGTTAAATAATTTCCTTAATGCCTAGAGAACATTCTAATGTCTGTGAACTGCTTTTTGTTGGGTTTTAGGTTGTTTTAAGCTGTAGGACATTGTTATACCATTGTTAGAAATGCCAGAACTGTTCAGGACTTGAGGTTATATCTTCTTGTGTGTATGTGAAACCTGAGTCTCCCTAATTCTAGTGTCTTCCTCCAATTCCCAGGATGAAAATCTTCTCCCTAGAAAATATTTTGAAGTGGATTTTCCAATGATCGTTGCAAGAAAAATACATAATATCAAGTAAGTCTGAGGCCTGTGTTTGTCTGTGTGAGCCTGGATGTGAGTCAGTGTCATTATTTCATCTCTCTGCTGAGAAACATTTCATGCTCTGGGCTATGAGGGTGGTGAGGGTGTGAGGCACTGACAGGTTGCCCAGAGAAGCTGTGGCTGCCCCAGCCCTGGGAGTGTCCCAGGCCAGGTTGGACGGGGCTTGGAGCAACCTGGGCTAGTGGAAGGTGTCCCTGCCCATAGCAGGGGTGGGACTGGATGGGCTTTAAGATTCCTTCCAACCCAAACCATTCTGGGATTCTGTGCAGAGTAAAGGTTCATTATGCAGGCAAGTTCCTACATGTGACTGTGCAACCACTGTTCCAAACTGGAGAAGGTGGAATGTGGAAGCTGTGGGGAGCCAAGCAGACCTCATTCTGGGGCAGGGAAAGTCTCATGATGATTAGAAGTGATTAAGTCTTTTCTTACTGTTGAAGACAGCAGTAAATTCCCAGACTTGCCTGTTCAGGTAGAGAGGTAGGATAGCTGGTGCTATATGGGAATGTTCTGTTTGGATGAATCCATTAAGGCTTATTGAGGATACATACAGAGTAGCTGGATTTTTCTTGAAACATTACCTCAAAAATTAGGAGTAACTGGGTATAAAAGTCAACTGCAACTTTCACAAACTTGCAAAGGTTTTCATTTCCAGTAGAGGGCAGAGATATTCTCTTGGCTGCTTTTATCACAGACACACACACACACATAGATATATATATATATGTTAAAAAAAAAGATGTAAGCACACTGTTAAACAGGCTTAGCTGCTCTGAGATGCTTCTTCCTTCTTCCCACAGATCAAAACCTCCCCTGTCAAAACCAATTATGGAATCCCATTCAGGGGACTCTCTTCTAATAGGTGAGTCATCTTCAAACTCAGTCAGCGATGTACTGCAGCACTTTTAAAACTTTTCTGATCATTTTGTTCTGCTATGTGGGCAGGCTTTTAATGTTTGAAATGCTGTTTGGACAGAGAATTGTGAGGGAAAAGAAGCTTTTTTCTTCTCTTACAGACTTCTGCCCATTCGTTCTGTGTCATGTTAGAAATGTCTTCTCTTTAAGTGGTTTTATTCTGCCAGAAAGTTTTTGGGTTTTTTTCTTTTTCTCTCATATGTAGCTTAAGTTTTCTGTCACAGGAAAAGAAGAAGTGCTACTGAGAGGCATGGATACAGGATTAAAATATCTATTGAGTGTTTATCTTCTTTCTGTCTCATTAGGAGAACAAGTCTTTACATTTAGCAGAGTCTTCACAGTAGAAACACAGCCTGCAAAGTCCAAGCTCAGGAGCCAGTGCTGTTTGTTATATTTTAGTATTAAAAGGGTAATAAATTCAGGTGGTGTCATGTGGTTGTACTGTCTTGGCTTATAACCTTACTCTGGAACAGGATGTTGTGGACTCCCCATCCTGAGGAACACTAATTACTTCCATCTAGGATAGCAACTATTTCGTGTGAGCAGGTGTGACCCTAAAGCAGAGCTCATCGTGTTTGCTGCTCCCTGAGTGATCACCTGGACTGGTGCTTTTATTAAGCACAACTCTTGCTCAGGGTCTGGAGGGCTTAAAAGGGCCCTCACTGAATCCCAGACTGGGTCAGGCTGGAAGGGAGCACAGGGGGTCACTGGTCCCACCTCCTGCTCCAGCAGGGCCAGCCCAGAGCACGTGGCACACAGTGAGTGTGTCCAGAGGGCTCTGGAATATCCCCAGTGAGGAGACTCCACACCCGCTCTGGGCAGCCTGTTCAGCGCTTGTCACTGCACAGCAAAGTTCTTCCTCCAGTCCAGGTGGAACTGCCTGGGCATCAATTCCTGCCCGTTCCTTTTGTCCCATTTCTGGGCACCCCCGAGCAGAGCCTGGTCCATCCTCTGGCCCTCCTCTGCAGGCACTGACAGACATTGGGGAGGTCCCCTCTCAGAGTCTCTTCTCGAGGCTGAACAGCCCCAGCTCCCTTGGCCTTTCCTCATAAGGGAGATGCTCCATCCCTTCAGCATCTCCGCAGCCTCCTCTGGACCTGCTCCAGGAGCTCCATGTCCCTCCTGTCCTGAGGAGCCCAGAACTGGACACAGCACTGCAGATGTGCCTCCCCAGGGCTGATCTGCTGGGAAGGCTCTTCCTCCAGGATCCCACTGGCCTTCCTGACCCCCAGGGCTCAAAGGGTGAGGAAGAGCAGAGTGAGGAGGTGTGCTCGTGTTCCAGTGGGAAAATGCAGGTTTTACCCCTGGGCTGCCCCTGGGATCCCAGTGCTGCCACACTGCCACACTCTGCCTTCTTGGGGCAGAGTTAAGCAGATTTTCTTGCTGCACGTTAGAGTGTCTTAACTTACCTTCAGGTGTCAGGAGTTTCTGTTGTACCTTCAGGCCTCAAAAGATGAAAGTCCAGTGCCCCACCTGAGGAGAAGGGTTCTGGCCGGGCCCCTGCCTGTGCCATCCCCTGCCCACGCTGGGATCTGCTGCATAAGCACTGTTCCAAAGGCATCCTGGGCCTTTGGAAGGGCTGTGTCTGTTTGTGTTCCTGAACAGCTGTAAATGTGTCTGGTACAGCACAACAACTGCAGTTATCAGCTTGCAGGGCTGTATTGTGATCAAAAGCTATTAATAGCAACTCAGAGCAGTGATCAGCAATTACTGTGGCACTGGGGGAGTGGAGTGGAGTGACTGGTTTCTCTAAAGCTGATTCTCTGGTTCTTTCTCAGTGCTGGGTTTTAAAACCTCAGAGTAGCAATTTCACTGTACCCAGGCTGGTGTAGGATCTGCTACACTGCCATCTCTGGGGTGTAGCATCATGTCTGGATAACCTGGAGATGCTGGAAGCGTGTTGTGGAATCCCAGTTTGAACTGACACTCAACCACAGGTTGGCTGGAGTGAGATCCATGTGGGAACTCTCATTTAAGGATATATTAATGGAACTGCTTCGTGTGGAAGTGCCACCAGAAGAGGTGGTGGAATAACTTGGTAAATCAAACAGATGAGCAGAGATTTCTTACAGGTCTAAGGGAACTTGATAATGTATTTGCTCAGCTACTGACTGGTCTGTACCCTCTCATTTTAAAACTTACTTCCAACTGGAAGGTGGTGGCTGTGACTCAAATGGAGAAATCCAGGGAACTCCAAGCCAGTAGGACTGATGTCTCTACTGGACAAATTAATAGGAATTCTAACAGACAGACTTAGTGCAGAAGAGAAATCATAGAACGTGTTGACAAAGACTCACCATGGCTTTTGGAAGGGTGAGTTATATCTCACAAACCTGTTGGAGTTCTCTGAGTCAGCAGTTCTGTTGGAAAAGGACATCAGTATAGCGCCTGGATTTCAAAAATGTGTTTTGACAGTGTCCCTTACCAAAGTGTGCCAAAGAAATGGCACAGTGGTTGTGGAGAAGGAATGGTTCTCATATGGATGAGGAGCTGGGATGGAGGGTGAGCATATGTTGTTAATTTTCATTATGGAGGAGATGGAGATCTGTGCTTAAGGATATGTTGTTGTTCAACACTAAGGAATAATTGTGAAAATACAGTGATTAGTAAATGGCAGCTTGTTGGCAAATCCAAACTCTTCAGAGTGGTAAAGAACTGTAGAAGAATCTTGTGAAATTAGTGACTTGATGATGAATTCAATGTGGATTAATAGAAAGTGATGCACATGGGGGGAAAAAATAGTTTGTGCCTCACATGTAAATGATTATTGCTGCCTTCCTGCAGGATCTGGGTATTAGAATAAATAGATGTATGAAGGCATGAGCTCAGTAATGGTCCAGAAATCCAAATCAAGTTTAAACATTCTTGGGAAAAACCTAGAAAACAGCTGGTTAGTACGTGTTTGCCCTTTTTTTTGACTTTTCCCTTTGTAGCTGCTGTTGGCTCTGTGAGAGGCAGGATATCACACCAGGGGGACCTCTGGTCTGACCTGGTACAGCTTTTGGACTGTGGAATATTCAGGGAGTACCACCTGTCATAGGGAGTGTAGCGGGCTGCAATGAAGCAGCATTGCCAGGTAGGGAAATGTTACCCATTTTTGTGGGGATATGGACCAGGATTTTAGAATCTTGGGGAGGAGGTTCTCCCATCCTGTGCCTGCTCCCTCACATAAGTTCCACTCTGCTGTCTCTGGTGTACCGGGAATAATTTGTTTGGATTGTTTGGAATTTAATTTTTGAGTTGTTGTAATATGGATTGACATGATTCTTGTTCTCTCACTGCTCTTCTGCTCACCCTGAATGTTCTCATTCCGTGAAGCTGGAGCTAATAGACAACTTTATTGGCTTCAGGGCAGCATCTGCTGTGCTTGCCCTTTGGACAAGGCAGGGACTGCATGGCGTGCCGTTCAAATATAGATGTTGGTGGCCTCTGCCCTTGGATGCAGCAGGATGACACTTGTCACTGCACAGCTCTGTGCTTTCCTGGGGAATGTTGGATCTCCAGGGAAAGCAGTGATTTGTGCAGCAGTTTGACATTGCTGTGGCAAGCACACAGTAAATTGTTTCCACTGTCTGGGTGATGCAATTGCTCGTGTTGGGAAGTCAGTGCCCCACCTCTGTTCCCTTTGCAAGTGCCAGTTACACTCAGGGAACTGTTGCCCTCCTGTGCCTCTCACACCTTCTGCCCTGCCTACTCCAGCTTTGGGACCTGGTTGGTTCAGCTTCCTTTTCCCTCCCTTTCCAGACTGTCCTGTGACCTGATGCAGGTGTCAGGGGTGTTGCTGTCCTGGTGATTTGCAGGCCTTGTGTTGGGGATGATCCTGAGCTTCCAAGGCAAACCAGATTTGTGTTTTGGCACGTGCCCTGCTCTGGTGTAGTGAACGAGGAGCTGAGTGAAAGCAGAGCCATATCCCGCCTGTGGAATAGGCTGTATGGGCTGGTGGGTTGTAAAGCTGCCAAAGATACCTTAGGATGAAAATCCTAATGAAATCAGTTTGAGTCAATAGTATCCTGCATTCTGTCTCTTGGAAAACCTCCAGGAAATTGTTGCACTAATGTGAGAAGGGAGTAGGAAAAGCAAACTGAATTCTTGTGGCAGAGGGAGCACTGAGCTCTCTGAGCCTGTGAGGCTGGAACGCTGCTCCAGGAGCCAGGGGAGGGCCTGGGGCCATCCTCAAACACAGCAGTTACTTGTTCCTAACATTTCTGTGAAGAAAACATGTATTGCAATGAGGTCAAAAGGCAACTATAAGCAGCTCCTGCTACTGTTCCATTACTGCAGGGATGTCTTGTTCTATGAGTCTATGAAATTTGAGCCACTTGTATTGTTATTTCTGTGCCAGAAGTCATGAAAAATAAACACTGAAGTGGTGTGATCAGAGCAAAGCATTCTCTGTTGATATCCATGGATAGCTGAGTGCTGCTTCTGGGCTGGGAGAGCCTGTGTGGGGTGGATGGGGTGGGCTGGAATGGTGGGGCTCTTCCTTCTCTCCTCCTCTCTCCCCTCCCTTGAATCCCTCAAATTAAATCTGAGTCTGGTGTTTCTCAGACCTTCATTTCAAGTGCAAGAGAGAGTCTTTGTGGGTGACTGACTGAGTGTGAGCATCACACACAGAGCCACAAGGTAGGAGAATACCCTAGAGAATACCTAGAGAATGTGCTCTGGAGGAGAATATCCCGACCCAACAACCCTGCTGGAAACCAGCAGGAAGTCTTGGTGCCTGGGTAGGAACTCGTGCTTGGAATATGGGATTTTCAGTGGGTTAAGCCAGGCATTCTATGATTCTGGAGTAAAAATGCTTGAGTCAATGTGGTGTGAGCAAGGGACATTTACTTCCACCTCGGAGTGTTTGTGCTCCTTTTTTATTGGATCACTTAAAAAGTTTTGTAGTTTATTTCTGGCTTTTATTTCTGTTCTTCATTAATGTACTTCTGTATCCAAGTCTCTAAAGCTGGACAAGGAGCTGGCAATAATTCCCTGCTAATTGTGGCGGCTGACGCTCGCTGTGCCCTATCTATGGACAGAAACCAATCCCTATTTAAATACTTCCCTGTGTGTGGTGGGGTTTTTGGGTGGCTTTTTTTGATGCCATTATCATGGCCTTGATGTAATCACTGAAATAGAAGGGTGTGGGAAGTAGTAAAGCTATTACAGAACATGCACATGGAAAAAGCCTTGACTCAAAATGTTGAATCATTTGCCACACAACTTCTTTTTTTCCCTTTTTTTTTGCCCTGTAACTCTCTTTATGAACTGTTCTGGTTCCTGGAGCTGCTCAGAAATGTTCCAGGAAAGGCAGCTATTGTCACCTGCTAGCCCCACTTTCAGACAGTTGGTCACTTGAAAGCTAAACAGAGGTGCATTCTCTGGAATGTTTGGTCACTGCTCAATCTAATAAATGATCTAATAATTGGGAAAAACCCCACTTGTCCCCAAACTTTTTTTTCCCTTTCTGGAATTGGAATCCCCTTTCATCCTGTCTCTTCAGCCACTTGGCTTCCCTTTCCCTCTTCAGCCAGCCTCACTCCAGCTGCACCAGGGGTGGTTCAGGTTGGACATCAGGAGGAATTTCTCCCTGGAAAGGGTGGTCAGGCCTTGGCAGGGGCTGCCCAGGGAGGTTTGGAGTCCCCATCCCTGGAGGTGTCCCAGGAAGGCCTGGCTGTGGCACTCAGTGCTCTGGGCGGGGGACAAGGTGGGGATGGGGCACAGGGGGGATCCATGGGCTGGGAGGGCTCTTCCAGCCTCAGTGATCCTGGGATTCTGTGAATCTGCTCCCACGGGACGTTCAGGAGCTGTGTCTGCAGCAGGTCCCACGTTGTGGGAGCTGCTCCTGCAGTTGGACACTGGCCATTCCAAAGCCACTTTAAACTCTGACTCTGGGGATTTTTTTCACTGCTTTTCTTCTTTTACTGTTTACCCATCTCACACGTACTCACATGGTACAGGGGGGACATTCTGCCTTCCTCTGTCCCAGGGCCTTCACCCCAGGAAAACTGGAGGTGCCAGAGCCACCCAGTGTGTCCTGCAGGGCTCGAGTGGGTTTGCTGGTGCCCTTGTGAAGTGCTTTCTGTGGCACTGGGTCCCCGGGGTGGGTTGATTGCAAAGGGGTGTCAGAATTATGGACAGCAAGAGGCTCTGTTTCTGCTGGTTCCTCAGCTGCACTGGGATGGCAAAGTGTCCTTTGCCTCTGGGATTTGTTCCTGCTTCGTGCTGGAAAGCACTTACAGGAATGTGAGGCCTGTTGTATCCCTGGGCAATATTTGTTTCTCAGAATACCTTCTCTAATTTGACTCTTTGCTTGAATACCATCACTAAATCATACCAGAAGTATAAATGGTAACATTTTTTTGCCCCAAATCTGTGTCTGTTCCCCATATACATTCTATAACTATAAAAATAAGTATTTTATATGGCTGTATCTGTTTTTAATATTTGAAATATGTTACTCTTAACTCCAGTTTTCAAAAATTGATGTACTTTTATGTAGTTCTGTGTACATACATTGGGTCATCTAAAAAGACTCTACAAATGCAATGAAAATCCTGCCTTTAATCTTCACATTTTTCTTCTCTCTGCATTCCTGGGAGCCATGGTAACGGCTGGGATAACCTCTCTGCATCACAGTGGCTTCAGAGGGAAAGAGTGGGCTCACTGCAGGGTCTGGTGGTGATATATCACTGTAAACCACAAGTATAAGGGAAATTAATGTTTTAAAAAGAAGAGTTTGCTGTTCATAGTTAGGTATAACAGACCAAACTTTGGCTTCCAATTCATGTATTCTTGTGCTGTTTTTTTTTAATTCATAATTTCAGCATCCCTCCTATTTGTAACCTTAGTCTCTCCACATATTCCCCTTGCAGATTCCCACAGCCTTGACTCCAGTCGATATTCCATTGTAGGAGCAGATCTCCGTTTCTCCTCAGATCTGGAGGAAAAGCTAAAGAAACACAACTTGGATAAGCAGTAAGATTATATATTTTTTAATTGATTTTTCTCTTTTAATGAGGGCTTGTGGAAGCTCTGGTTGGACGGGGCTTGGAGCAACCTGGGCTAGTGGAAGGTGTCCCTGCCCACGGCAGGGGGTGGAACTGGATGGGCTTTAAGGTCCCTTCCCACCCATCACAGGCCATTCTGTGATTCTGTGACTTTAGAGTTTTATCTTTGTAATTTTCTGTGGCCTCCACTTGAACCCCTGTTGTTCCCTAAACCTTTTGGTGGAGGGATTGCCGTGGACCTGAGTCCGGAAGCTCCTCTGTGGGGTTTTATTGTTCAGCACGAGGCTTTGGAGGGGGCAGGAGTTGAGTTTCTGAGTGGATGATGGACAGACCTTTCAAATCTAAGCTATATAAATAGCAGCGATCTGGCTGGGTGGGAGAGAGCATATGGGGAAGCAGAATGCATCAAATTGCCATTTAATTCTTTACACTTCCATCTTCTGAAATGTTGCCTTGCTTGCCTACATTGCTGCTCCTTGTGGAATTTCTCCTGCTTCTAGTGACTTTTTTTTCCCTTTCATTCTAGCAATTAAAAGCAAACTCAATAATTCTGAAGAAAATCACTCGTGTAGATGTCTATTTTTGTTGGTTTGTGGATGGAGGGGGAAGAGGCAACGTGCAAACCATGGATTGCATTTTGTTAGATAATAATATGTGAAGAGTATTTTACAGATACTGAACAAATTTGACTAATTAAAATTCTTAGAACTTTCGTAAAGAGAAAACTTTTTTTTTTTCATTTTTTAATTTATTCCTGATTTTACTGATCTCTAGAAGAGTGTGGATTGTGTATACAGAGTACAGTTCTTCTGCAAAGGGAATTTTAATAGACTCCTCAGTTCCTGCTGTAAGAGAAGACTCAGAGAATGCACATTATTCTGTGTTCAGGGCTGGCTTAGAGGAGATTGTTTCCCAAAATCTCTGGTTTGTAACCACAGAAGTCTCCTGTGGTTAATTAATTCATGAGCTGCCAGAAAGCCTAGTTCTAGTCAACTTGATGAAGAGATTTCATTCAAACTTCAGTGTCTAGTTCATAAAAAATGTAGCTCTTTCAAGACATGAAATGACTGCTCACTAACAATTCTTTACAGATTTTTCTTGTTCTTCTGCTGTGAATAGTTCTGTGGTTTGGTTTTGTTTTGCAGTTTGCCAACACTGCTGGTGGCAGAGTGTGTGCTGGTTTACATGACCCCCCAGCAGTCTGCAAACCTGCTCAAGTGGGCAGCAAGCACCTTTCCCGTGGCCATGTTTATCAATTATGAGCAGGTAAAACCAAAATGGCATTTTCAGACCTGCATTGTTGTCATAACAATTGCTCTCCAAGGTGGGAGTTGTTGTGAAATAGGAGTGGGCTGTGTCCTTTTGTAGAGACAGCAGTTTCTTCTGAATTTCTGTAGTAATGTGTTTTAACTTGTAGCTTGCTTAGCTTGTTAGAAAGAATATACAGCTATTCTGAAAGACAATTTCTGGGCTATGTTGAAGCAAAATAATTGAGACTTAATCCATATGTGAGAAAACCATAGAATATTGGTTTAGCTAAGGCAGAGGAAAAAGAAATGATGCTGAGTGCTGGCTCTGAGTGTATAACATTACATAATTACCTCTCTGTTCTTTGGCAAAGTGGAGCAAAAATCACATCAGCACGAACTCTGCTTCTCCCGGTGGAAGTTAACGCTGCCTCGGGGGAACTAGGTGGCTCCAGGAATTAGTAACAGGATCTTCCAAGCTGTAAATCACTGCTGGAGAGATGAAGCAAGTTGCTGAGAGCTCAGAGCAGATCAGTTTTCATGTCAGTCCCTGTGTCTCAGGGCAGGGCACTGTCACCGTGGCGCTGAGGCTGTGACCAGGAGGGAGCTGAGGAGGTGGTGGCAGTGGGAATGAGGCCCAGTGTAAGGATGTGCACTCCCTTTGCTGTTGTCCCATACATTTTATGACATAGGCAGTCCAAGAGTTTAAGCAGGGCCCTGCTGTTCCCCACGGTCACGTTGGGTGCAGAAGGGGGAACACTTTTGTCTCCTTCTCTCCCTGAGGTGAACATGACGGACCGGTTCGGGCAGATCATGATCGAGAACCTGCAGAGGAGACAGTGCAACCTGGCTGGGGTGGAGGTCTGCAGGTCCTTGGACTCCCAGGTGAGAGGGGCACAGAGCTCTGGGGGGCTGGGATATCAACATTAATTAGTCTGTCTGCACATTCTGTCTGGGTGTGCCCTGTTGGAGCAGTCCCACCCCCTGCCATGAGCAGGGACACCTTCCACCAGCCCAGTTTGCTCCAAGCCCCGTCCAACCTGGCCTTGGACACTTCCAGGGATCCAGGAGCAGCCACAGCTTCTCTGGGCAACCTGTGCCAGGGCCTCACCACCCTCACAAGGGAGGAATTTCTTCCTAATATCCAATCTAAAACCTATTCCCTGTCAGTTTGAAGCCATTCCCCCTTCTCCTGTCACTCCAAGCCCTTGTAAATAGTGTCTCTCCATCTTTCTTGTTGGCTCCTTCAGGTATTGGAAGGCCACAGTTGGGTCACCCTGGCACCTTCTCTTTGATCCCACTGACTGTCAGTGGTTGTCCCAAAGCTGCAGTAGAGCAGAGCCCAGCCCTGCCTGCCCCCTGCCCTCTCTGCACAGAGATCAGCAGCACATGCTTAGGAAAGACTTTGAGCTCTTCAGAGAACAGGTCAAGCAGCTGCCCTATGAAATCCTTGGGGGGAGAAAGTGCCCTCTGGTATTTTTTCCTGGCCCCTCAAAGCTGTGCTGTGTGTTGCAGAGGGAGCGGCTGCTGGCCAGCGGCTGGGACACCGCACGGGCCATCGACATGATGAAGGTGTACAGCTTCCTGCCACAGGCTGATGTCAAAAGGTATTCATTTTGGAACCAAAAGTCATCCTCAGGTGCCATTTCCAAGGCTGTTCACATCCATGTGTAGTGTGGGATTCCCTGCTCTAACAGAGGAGGCTGCAGGCACCTGCTGACCGTGGCTGAGTGTGAAGCTGTGCCTGGAGCAGCATTAATGATCCACTGGCCCTGGGGATGTTTGATTTGGGTGCAATATAAAGCATCTCATGACAGGAATTTGCAGACAAAAGATGCCACAAAAGTGCTGTGTTGAGTTTGCAGTCCCTGAGATGTTCCTTGTGCACATTTTGGCTGGGGTTAAACCACAACACGTTGAAATCAGCTTCACGAGGGAAACTGCTGGGTCTGCAGAGCTTAGAGAACAGAGGGGGTAACTAAAGGCTGTTTTAACAGTCTTTAACAAATTTTAACACAATTTGCATGGATTTTGTTAATTTTTTTGCATTGAAGAAATACTAAAAACCATGAAACTTTTTAAGGAGTAACTTAGGGATATAATATGAAATGTGAATTGCTGTGAGTCATTAACTATAGTTTGAATTAGCTGAACAAGTTACCTTGGTCCAAATATTCACATATGGGGTTTTCTCCAACCCTGGAACTGAACAGGTGAGGGTGGAAATCAGAGGTGGTTTAAATAGGAACAGTGGTGTGTGGTGGTGCCAGATGGCACTGGTGGAGACACAGAGCCTGTGCTTTCTTTGCAGCATTTTTGACTACCTTAGATCTGTTCAGCTCCTTCCACTTGTTCCAAATGCCAGGAAATAGGTTATGTAAACTCTGTCCTTCAGTATTAATGAGGCAAATAATGCTTTTTATTTATAAAAGTCTTTACAAAAGTGTTCTTCTGCAGCACTTACATCTGGGAGTGTATTTTGAAACTTTTACCCCTCAGCCTCTTTTGATCCTCAGTAGCAGCTCTTCCAAATATTTAGCATGGAAAATAAACACTGATATTCAAGTAGTCTGGAGGGGGAGAGGAATGGGCCAGGTTAAGCTTTGTAGAGCAGGCACAGCTCGGGAGAAAATCTCCCATTTGGGGGAAGACATTTAAAGACCTTCCTTTAGGAAGGTGGGAACCATTTTAGGGAAAACAATTCCTTGGGTCTTCTATTTGTACCACTTAGTTTGTGTTTCATCATGGGCTCCTGTGGGAGAGCTGTTGGGAGCTGCACTGCTGTACTCATCACTCTTCCAAGACATGGTATGGACTTGTGATACTCTGGAGAAAACACAGTCTTCAGCTGTTCCCTGCCATCCCTTGGTCAGGATAAATCTCCTTCCATTGGGCTGCACTGCTGTGGCTGCTCAGGGCCAGCAAGGCCAGATATCTGCAGGAAAAGGGCTTGGAAGACAAATGCTGGTATTTGTGAGAAGTTACACAGGTTAGTCCTGAAAACTGAACTATGAAGTACAGACTGATATGAAATATTAGCCCAGGAATGAGAAGCTGAAAACATCCCGTGGGTCACTTGTTTCATACGTGGACAGCAAGGGTGGGAGAGGTGGGGGCACCATGGACAAACTCCTATATGATTGACTGGAAAGGTAACTGCCTTACTGGCCAGAGCTTTCACTCCTGGGGAGTGAAGAGTTTATTAAAGACTCTACTGAGACTCCAGCTCGAATCCCGATTTTTACTTGTTCCTACAGAATAGAAGCACTTGAATTCCTGGATGAAAAGGAACTGTTTGAACAACTAATGCAGCACTACTGTATCTGCTGGGCTTCAAAGGACAGCAGCAACCTGGGTAATGTTCTCCAACACACAGGAGTGATCCTTCCCATGGAATTTTATGTGGAAAGACTGGGATTGGGATGTTACACTGGGTGCAGGATAGAGACACCCTGTCCCGGGCATGGGCTCTGCTGCTCTGTCCTTGGGGCTGGGAGCACCTCCCAGCTGGTGATTGCTTCTCCACAGCCTTTGGAAGGTTCATGGGCATCCAAGTTGGAAGCCTGTCCAGTAGAGGAGAGTTGGAATTTTTCCACCAGAAGATGCCGTATGGGTTACTTTAAATAACTGCCTGCTTTATCCTATCAGTGCTAATTGAAAGGTTTACAAATCCTATGCATGGGAAGTGCCATATGGACACATGGTATATGAAATCACAGTGTCCTGACAACACAAAAATAAATTTGTATTACTTATCCCAGGCTTTTCTGCACTGTCCCCATTTACAGCCATCTGACACTGGAGTTTTCCACACCACTTTCTCCCAGGGGAAAAAAAATTCCCTCTCAAATTAACTCTTTTAAATGTTCTTTTTGGTCTTAAAATTCTCTCTCTCCTAGACTGGGATTTCTTTGAAATGGAGGGACTCAATTCATGCTTTCTGTAGCATTTCTATGTTGCTGCTGCTTAACAAATAATAAAATCAGGAGAATTGTGGTTTAGGTGAGGGATAGATGGCTACAGCCTGTATTTGTCCAGATTGAAGACAACACTGTTCTAGGCCCAGCAAATGGGAATAGTTGTGATCTCTGAGCAGCCAAGCATCTGGTGAAAGGAGACCTTCAACACTCTGTTGCTGCTGCTGTAGCAGAGCTGCTGCCTTGTGGTGTTGGTCACTTGAATCCTCCAGCCTCCATAGTCCTGAGCTCAAAAATCCATGTTTTCCATTTCATTTCTTAGGGCTAAATGGTGATGACTGTAATACACAACATATTTCTAGGGGAGCTAAGGGCAAAATGTTCATAGTAACCACTCTTTTGAGATCTCAGCATTGTTATTTACTGTGATTAGAGAAAGACTGAGAACAATTTTGGGGACTGAGGTTGAGTGGCGCAGGGTATCTCAAAAGTTAAAAAAGACAAATCTCAAAGGAGATAATCAGATGTCCAATGGGCATTTGGACATGGCATGGATATGCCTTAATCTAAAGCAGGGGGTTTAAATCCATGTGAATTTACTGCCCTCATTAAGGGTACTTTCCCCAGATTTCCCTTTTTAATTTCATGGGCAGAATCTGAGGTTCACGAAGATTCTGTGTTGTTCCTTCTGCCATGAACAATTCCTGCAGATTAGCTTATTCAAATTAATTGCTTCATCACAATCAAAAATCCTCCCACCAAATCCTTTACATTTAAGTTTAAAAAAATTAAGTAATTCTCAAAGCATCCTTCTTCCTGTGCCTGACTGTCCTAATAGTGGTGAAGGACTGGTAGGATAAGAATAAACACTTGTTTTTCCTCCCTAATCCCTCTTTCTCTTCACACAGGTCTGGCAAACATCGACTTCTGAGGATCTGGCTGGAGGGAAGGGAGCCCAGGAGCCCCAGTGACTGCCTTGGCTTGGGCCAGGATCCAGAAATATGGACTTTGCATGTGCCAACCCCAGTCTGTGTCCCTGTGACGGTGCTGGGAACTGTCCTGGTGGCTTTGGGTGGTTTTGAGGAATATTCTTTGTGAGCAGTTGTTATGAGGCAGGACTTGCCTTCCATTCCCAGATGTCTAATGATGGACTTTCACAAGGTGTCAGTGATTCCTGTCTAAAGCTTGCCTTCCATAGTTTAAAGCTGAAAGTGTTCTTGGGTTCTTTGGTTTTCCTCCTTTGTCTTTTTGTGGATGTGTAACATGTGTTTGTGACAGGAAGGTGGAAGAGCAATGCTGGAGAGCTGCAGCACTGGGTACCTGCACTGTGCATGGCTGATCAGGAAGGTGCAATTTTGGTTCATTTTCATTCTCTTCAGGTCTAATTTTGATGAAGTGTCACCGTGTTGGCCTCTCCAGGCTTCACTGTTGTACAAGGCTGTCACTGTGCTGGGGGTTCTTGTAGGGGAAGGGTAAAGGAGAAGGGGAGCCCTGATTTTGTTCAGTGGTGTACAAGAAACTGGAAAGTAGATGTTATTTAACTGGGAAGGGCTTAGCTTGGCAGTTCAGCACTGGGATGGTGAAAGAAAGAAAGAAATTAATCTCAATTTGCACTGCTTCTGGTAGTATCTTTACACCAGTTTCTTCTTTCCCCTTAAAAGAAGCAAAACAAAATCCCAAGAGTAAGGAAAGCCCTTGTCCTGTTGTTTGAAATTGAATCTTGCAACCCTCCTATGAGAAAAATAATAAATGTTTAATATTTATAATTTGTCTCCTGTCTTACTCACTAGAAATTACCTATTTATATCTGATTTAGTGATACCAAGTTTCTTCTCACCAAATGCCTCACCAGGAGTATTTTTTTAAAGCAGTTGCAGGCAGGCCCAGAGCAGCTGTGGCTGCCCCTGGATCCCTGGAAGTGTCCAAGGCCAGGTTGGACAGGGCTTGGAGCAACCTGGGCTGGTGGAAGGTGTCCCTGCCCATGGCAGGGGGTGGCACTGGATGAGCTTTAAGGTCCCTTCCAACCCAAACCATTCTGTGATTCTGTGACAGGCCACCATTTCTGTGCTGGGTGTGACTTTCTGTGGTGTGAGAACACTTAGGAAAAGATTGTTGTGGGCCTGGACTGGAGATGAAGGGATGGATATTGCTGAGATATCAGGAAAAGTAAACAGTTCTTGGAAGTTACAGTCACAATTTCAGAGGAACAGAAGCAGTAAACAGAAGGGGTGTGTAGTGATAGGATAAGGGAAAACAGCCTTGAACTGTAAGAAGATGGGTTTGGATTAGATCTTGGAGGAATTTCTGCTCATGACTTCTCTTTTAAGTCCCTGTATTGTTTGTTCATCCAAGGGGAGCACTGGAGAGTGTGGCACAGGAGCAGAGCTGTGCCCTGGGATGAGAACACGATGGTGGCCTGATCACCCTCTGACTGGGTGAGTCTGACTTTCCATTTGCAGCTGCTGAGCTGAACAGCATCCAGCTAAGGAGAAGGGAAATCATTCCTGCAAAAGCTATTCCAGAGTCTCTCCTGTCTCAGTTGCCAGCAGTGGTGAGGAAAGTGGGTCACCTTGTGCTTCAGGGTTACAGCAGGATCAAAGGAGTGTGTGGCTCCCTGGGAGCTGTGTGGGGAGAATGGTGTGGGCAGCGCTCAGGGTTCCACTGACTGAGAGAGGTAAATCTTTCACCACTCTCCAGGGAATATTTGGATGTGGAGGGTGCCTGGTGCTGCTGAAACAGTACTGCTTTGCTGGGAACTGCTGGTTGAGGAAGGCTGAGGAAGGTTTTCCAGCCAGGAGAGGTGGCCTCTGCCTTCTGCTGCCGCTTCCTGCGCCAGGTGTGGCTGCTGGGGCTCCCTGGAGCTGTCCCTGGATCTCTGCCTCTCCCTCCTGTTCCAGCCCAGCTGGCTGTTCCTAGGTGCTCTCAGGCCTCTCTCCTTCCCCCAGTCTGTGGCTGGGAAGCTTTGCACAGCAGGATGCTGAGTCCAGTTGCCATGGCAAAGTGAGAGGGAGTCGTGGCACGTGGGCCCTGCCTGTGAGCTGCCTGTCACAAATTGTTCCCACAGGTACCCCAGAATCCTCCTGTCTGTCCATGCTGAGTCCTGGATGTTGGTCCTTGCTCTGTCCAAGGCCCAGGCACGTTGTGGGTGATCACACTTCACTGTATGTGTGTCCCACCCATGTTACCTGCCTGAGCATCACCTGCTCACTCTGAAAAGATGGATAAAAGAAGTTACCTTCTAGGAAATTAAATTATTTAGTTCCTTACTGGGATTGCCCAGTAGTGAATGAAAAGCACTTGTTAGCTCAGTGCCCAGCATTTCAATCCCTCTGCAGAGTTACAGCTCCTTGTTTTGAGCTGACAGGAGTTTCCAGGTCTCTGTGCTGCACAGGAAATGTGGTTGTTGAGGATGGAAACGCTCCGTTGTCATCAGACTGACAGGACAGGCAGGGGAAACAGGGGCCAGGTCATTGCAGGGGAGATGTGCAGGTGTGTGTGGGACCAGATCATCCGTCCCTTCTGTGAGAGCTCGGGGGATTTAGCGCTAAACACCAGAACTACGAATGTTCAATACCGGAATTAAGGTCTAAGCGTGGCTTCATCCTACTGGTTATTTTCCCTCTTCAGAAACCAGTCTGTGCATGCAGAACTGACCCAAATCTGTCCCTGTTTTCCAGCAGACGGGGGTAAGTCTGTCTTAGGAATCCTTGGAAATTTCCATCGGCACTGGAGCGTTACGGTAGCGATTTGAAGGGAAACTCTTACCCAACGTGGGCTCTCTGGAGGGGCAGAGGTCACCTCACCTGTGCCACAGCTCTGAGCTGCAAATCATTCTGCCAGTTCTCCTTCAGCCCCAGTTGAGTAATCGTGGGGATTATCCGTCTCCAAGATAAACATGGAAAGATAAGGCAGTGTCAAAGGAATTGCTTTTGCTTCTTTATGGCTCTTTGAAAGAGCTGACCCTGATGCTGGCTCTGCTGGGGTCTTTCCTTGCAGCAGCACGTCCTGCAGCACCAAAATTCTTCCTGATAACTTTTTCATAGCAATCCAGGCAGAACTGGGGCCTTTGAAATGTGCCAGCACTGATCCACAGAGAGCACTTGAGCATTAGGAGAGCATGAAGTGACAGGACATGGGGGAATGGTTTCAAACTGAAAGAGGAGGTTTAGGTTGGATATTGCGAAGAAATTGTTCCCTGTGAGGGTGGGGAGGCCCTGGCACAGGTTGCCCAGAGAAGCTGTGGCTGCCCCTGGATCCCTGGAAGTGTCCAAGGCCAGGTTGGACGGGGCTTGGAGCAACCTGGGCTAGTGGGAGGTGTCCCTGCCCATGGCAGGGGGTGGGACTGGGTGGGCTTTAAGGTCCTTTCCAACCCAAATAGTTCTGGGATTCTGTAATTAGCTGTTAATGGTACTTGATCATGTCCCTAAAAGTCTGCTTATGTGCTTTTTGGATTTTTAGGGGTTTGGGTTTAGAACCCCAGAATGGTTTGCATTGGAAGGCACCTTAAGGATCACCCAGTTCCAATCCCCAAATCTGCTTTTCTATACAAACCACAGTTTGGTTACTTTGGATTGTATGGAAAAAACAAAGGAAAGGTGGCAGATCTGCACAATGAAGCAAAGGAAAACAATGGAACACGGGGTGGATAAAATAGGGGTATTCTGACTTTTCTGCTGGGGTAGATGGATGTGGGAAATGTTCTCTGTGATTCCTAAAAAGGGTTTTTGGAAGCTGTGGCTCATTTGGTCCCACCGTTTCCTGTTCTCATTGACACAGTTGCTGTTGTCACTTGTTTAACAAATCGGTGCAAGCCCAAACAAGGACAAAAATAAGTGTCTGTTAATATGAACAGATTTATCTGTTCTCATCCCCACGCCTTTTCCCACGGGCAGAGTTTCCATATAGCTTATCAAGCAAACCCTAGTGCCAAGGATTTCATCTCTGTGAGGGGCAAAGGCTGCTCAGAGCAGGGCTGTTGTCTTTACATGTTTGTGGCACCTCTAAACACAAGGCAGATGCTGGGGCAGCCTCTGCTCAGGAGGACACAGGAGGATGGCTGGGTTGAGGTGTGGAATCCCAGAATGGTTTGGGTTGGAAGGGACCTCAAAGATTATCCTGTTCCACCCCCTGCCATGGGCAGGGACACCTTCCACTAGCCCAGGTTGCTCCAAGCCCTGTCCAATCTGGCCTTGTAACTTAAACTGGATCTGGAGCAGTCACCCGTGAGATGTTCTGGAAAACATGTTGTGCTCAGGAGTTGTAGATGCAGGAAAGTCACAGTTCAGGGTTAACACGAGAGCAATGGGCCTCTGCCAGTCCCTGGTGGTAAATCCAGGCTGGGTATCTGCTGCTGTGAGCCTTTGGCTGTGGGAGGGCAGGGCAGTGCTGGGGGGATGCTGTGCCCTTCCAGTCCCCTGCTCTGCCCACCCTCATCTCGCTGGCAGTGACTTGTGACCTCGTGGAGCAGCCCCACCACCCTTCTCCTTGCACACTCCCCTGGCACCTCCTGGTGTGGCACTTTTGGTGATTCCTCCATGGCTGGTCCTGCCCCTTTGCTGGCTGTGCTGGGAGGGTTTGGTGGGAGCCAGGTAATCACCTGACCTCGCTTATCCATCAGGAGATTCCCTGAGGATTTATGTGTTCAAGTGCTTTAGGAGTCAGAGCTGGCAGGTGTTGAAAATATCATCCTACTTTTATTGGTTTGGTTTTGTCCCTGTTTTTTGGGTTAACTGGAACTGTGTGCAGGGAGTGCTGGTTTCCCTTGGAACCATCCTCGTGCCCAGCAGTAGTTAGGGAGGAGCAGTGTTCCCTGGGCTCTTGGGTTAGTGGCACATCAGCCATGGCCCTGCAAAAAAACCTTCCCTCTCCCTAATCTTCCACAGCACTGAAATTTCCCAGGCTGCTTTCTCCAAGGATTTTACCTCAGTCCCACATGGCAGACACGGGATGCCCGGGCAGCACTGGCTGGCTCTGAGTGCAGAACCACTTGGCTGGAGCTCCCAACACCAGGGAAAACATTCCCTCAGGACTGCTCCTTTGTTCTGTCCTGTTGCAGGCCTGTGCTCAGTAATAATTAATTCCTTTGTTGCATGAACGTGGAGCGTTTCCTCTGGAAGGCTCAGGCAAACATCCCACTCCCTCAAGAATGGTAAATGTTTAAAAGCCAAGGACACAGGGTTAATCCTTGCTTTTGGGCTGTGACCTCCCAGTGCTCCAAAGCCACCACTCTGTTGGGAGACAGAGTATGGACACAGTCCCAGCCACGTTCCACAGGTCCATGCAGAGGGTTCACAGGAGCCCAAAGACCAGCCCAACTTGGCCCTCACTTCCACATCCCAGTGGTTTCTATCACCTGATGCTGAGAGCTTTTGTCTGTAGGAACCAAGTTCTTGGGAGGGGAAATGGTTTGATGGAGGCTCATTTAGAGGGGCCTGGACTGGGCTTCTCTGGCCTGCCCCTTGTCTGTGGTGAGGCCAGCAACAGAGACAGGCAAGTGGAAATTTCCTTCCCATCCCCAGTGCCTTGTGACAACATCATAAACCATCCCTGGCGTTCTTTACCCTGCTTACGAGAGAAAAAAATCTCTATAAACGGCAATCCTTAATCACCCACCACAAACATGGGACGTTGCAGGCGATTGCTCAAGGCAGTGACACAGGGCAGGGACACCCTGGGGGGCTGGACTGATCCCTGCCTGGATGGTGGGCACATTCCTGCTGCTCCAGGTGAGCTGCACTGCAGGGACCTGCGCTGGCATCGCTCGGGCAGCGTCAGCTGTGCCCATCACTGGATATGTGTTATATTAATCTTATAATTAATACCCCCAAAATAATTTAAGTCTGGATTCTTTCTGCCCAAGTTAGAATCCCTCCCAATGGAACTGGTTGTGCTGGGAGCTGTGGGTTGTGGGACAGTGGTTCCAGCTCTCAGTCGTCCCCTTATTCCCTCTGCCCTGGCTGAATCTGGTGTTCCAGGCAGTGATCCCTGCTGGGGGAAGGAGGATTTAGGGAGGGTTTAAGTGTTATGATCAATGCCAATTTTCAGAGCTGCTGGTGGATCCCTTGGGTCCCTTGCCAGCATCTTTTATTTGAGAGCAGTACAAGAGGGATACAGGCCCCCAGCTTTGGGAGTTCTGGGCAGGACGTGGGCTGAGCGTTAGGGAAACTTTGACTGACGGTTGTTACTCAGAGGGTGGGGAGGCCCTGGCACAGGTTGCCCAGAGAAGCTGTGGCTGCCCCTGGATCCCTGGAAGCGTCCAAGGCCAGGTTGGACAGGGCTTGGAGCAGCCTGGTCTAGTGGAAGCTGTCCCTGCCCATGGCAGGGGGTTGGAACTGTTTCTTAAAGGTCCCTTTCCACCCAAGCCAGTCTGTGATTCTGGGATAGCTGCACCAGCCATTTCCCAGGGTGCTGCTGGACCCGTGTGCCCGATGCCATGGCCCTTCTGGCAGGTGCTGCCTCTTGGCAGCACGAGCAGGTGAGGAGGCCAGCTGGGCTGCACACAGGGCTCTGCATGAAAGGAATCACATCCTGAATTTGGCATAAAAACCTAAAACTGAAGAAAAAAATAAAGTCCAAGGGAAAAATCCCCCCAAGCCTTGAACCAAGGCTTGGCAGTGATAACAGTTTTTATATCCCTGGGGGCCGGCCCAACAGCTTTTATTGCCCCTCTCCTTTTTTTTTTTCTTAGCAATGCAAATCCAATCCATATTTTAGAGCCTCTCCTGCGCTGCCTGTTCACAGAGGTCCGGGGGGAGCCTCGTGGCAGGACAGGCAGGATCCTCGGCCCTGCGGGTGTGGCGTCTGGAGGCTCTACCCTGCAGCATCCCCGGACCGAGTCCCTGCCCTGCAGCATCCCCGGACCGAGTCCCTGCCCCGCAGCATCCCTGGACTGACTCCCTGCCCCGCAGCATCCCTGGACTGACTCCCTGCCCCGCAGCATCCCCGGCCCGCCCCCGCCGTGCCCCCATGGCCGGTGCCGAGCACGGAACCCACACGGGGCGGGAGCTGCTGGACATGGAGGTCAAGGCCAAGGCCTGGCGGCCACCCTGGTATGAGCACCACGTGCAGCCGTGCGTGGCCGAGCTGCTGGGCACTGCCCTCTTCATCTTCCTCGGCTGCCTGGCCGTGGTGGAGGACGCGGGGGGCGCGGGGCGGCTGCAGCCCGCCCTGGCACATGGGCTGGCCCTGGGCACCGCCGTCGCCGTCCTGGGGGACATCAGGTAAGGGGGGCTGGCACTGGGGCTGCACGTCCCCCCGGCTGGGGTGGCACACACACCCCACTGCTGTGCCCACACAGCCCCACACGTGGGCAGGGGGGATGCTGGGGGCTCCCACACACCACCCTTAGGACCCTCCCTGCCCAAATCCCGGTGCCTGAGCACCCCTGCCCTGCCACAGAGCCCCTGGTCAGTGGTGTGGCTGCCTGGGGGGGTGGGGGTGGTGGCACTGGTGGTGGCACCCATAATGCTGTGGGTTTGGAGGGGGTTCACCTGGCTCCGGATTGACCATTTTAATTCTTAGCCCCTTTTAATAAAAACTGTCGAAGCTGAAATAGAAATATCCTCTTCTGGGGGTTGGAACAAGAAGATATTTAAGGTCCTTTCCAACCCAAACCATTCTGTGATTCTCTGATTCTCTGGAAAGCTGAGGCAATTCCTTTCAAAGGGATGTCAGAGCAAAACATTTTGACCCAAGTGTGCTACTCCCCTGGGTATCTGCAGGTGAAAGATTTAGATCCCATTTACAAGTGGCTTCAAGTCCCCAAAAGCAACATTTAGACAAACCTGCTCATTGAAAAAGGTGTTGTCTGGTGCTAAGATATAGGTTTATCCTCAAGGAAGGAGCTGAAACAGTCCTTAAGGAGTTTTATTCCCTTCCCTGGTGTCAGCTCTGCACAGCCCACGCATGGGATGGCTCCAGGCTGTCCCGGGTGTCCTGGCCGGGGTCATGGGCGAGCCCTGGAGTCCAGAGCAAGCTGACTGATCATTCAGCAGTGCCTGATCAGCAGGCAAAACGCCCCGGGTGAGGTTTGTGCAGTGGGGACTCGGTGACCCCGTGGTGCCTGTGCTGGCAGAGCCAAGCCAGACCCCACTGCACCCCAAGCCCTGGGCCTGGTTGAACCAGGGGAGCAGGACAGGGGAGCTTTATGGTGAGGGGCTGCAGAAGAGTCCTGGGGGTCCCCCATCAGCTCTGAAACCAAGAGGAGCCATCTCAGGGTCCTGCACAGGGAGATGTTTTAATCTAAAGTCAGGTTCACACAGAATCCCAGAATGGTTTGGGTTGGAAGGGACCTTAAAGCCCACCCAGTCCCACCCCTGCCATGGGCAGGGACACCTTCAACTAGCCCAGGTTGCTCCAAGCCCTGTCCAACCTGGCCTTGGACACTTCCAGGGATCCAGGGGCAGCCACAGCTTCTCTGGGCAACCTGTGCCAGGGCCTCCCCACCCTCACAGGGAAGGATTGTGTCCAGAGAGGCTGGAGAGGGGCCTGGCTCAGGATGGGGGTCCCTAGCCAGGCTGCCAGCTGTGCCAGCAGGTGGGAGCTCTGGCTGGGGTTTGTTTGCAGCCCCCAGGCTCCCTCCTGTCCTTGGGGTGTTCACAGCCCAGGCCCCATCCAGCTGAAGCGTTTGCTGCCCTGAACAGCACAATGCCTTGCTCTCGTGATGGGTCTGAATTCCAGCTGAGGAATGAGGTGTGATTATCGCTCCCAGACACTCTGACTCATCCCTCACCAGCAATTATCAGGGCTGATTGGTTATGAAACCTGTTCGTTAGTGTGTCTCATGATAATCTGCTTTAATTAGAGGGTCTCAGTCTGTCTTGCTTGTGCTCTTCAAAATGAATGATTTAGGTCTTGTACTGTGGTGCCCAGCCCGACAGCCCTGCTCTGTCCCTGCCTCCCTGCAGATGTGTGACCTCCCAGGCTGAGTACCAGCCCCCCCAGGGCATTCCTGCAGCTCTGGAAGAGACCCCTTCTCCCCACACCTGCTCTGCCAGAGCTCCTGGAAGCTCCTGGGGGTCTCCAGAGACCCATCCCCAAACCCTGTCCCTCAAACTTCCCCTGCCAGCACTGCAGGACAGGTTGGGTGTCCAGCATGATGATGCTGCTGCTTTGAAGCAGTGACTGCAGAGAGAGGAAACAGCTGGATTCTGCTCTTCTGGAGCATGTGGCACCTTCCCACAACAGGACTGGAAAAGCACTTGTGGCTCCAGCCCGTGGTGAGCCCTGGGGAGGGAACCTTGTGCTGGGAGTGAACCCCTGCTGATGCTCCCCTCTCCTTTGCAGCGGAGGCCACTTCAACCCCGCCGTGTCCCTGGGCGTGTGGCTGGTGGGGGGGCTGAACATGACGATGCTCATCCCTTACTGGCTCTCCCAGCTCTGTGGAGGGGTGATAGGAGCCGGCCTGGTAAAGGTATGGACACCGGGGTCCTCTCCACCCAGGGCTGGGACACAGGGACTCCCCCTGCTCTGACAGAGCTGGCCTGACCACCCCAGCCTGCCGCAGCCCCGGGCTCCAAGGCCAGGCTAATTAACTAATGGAGAGCTGCAGCTCTTCTCCAGAGGTTTGCTGTGCTACACTAATTAGGCACAGAAGGACACACATGGTCCCCCTGCAGCCCCTGCCGTGTTCTCACACAGCGTTTCCCTGCACTTGTACCTCTGGCACTGCACTCAAGGCCAGTTTAGGTTTGGTGCTGCACATGCCCACCACGCTGGCAGCCAGCACCCACCTGCACCGAGGGGTCTGGCCACCACAACCCCCTGGGTGACTGGGTGAGGCTCATCCCGCCGGGAGAGCCGTGCCTGGCTCGTTATCCTGGGAGATATTAAGAGCCTTTGCCGATGAGTTGATGTTTGCCAGGCTGGCTTTCAGGAGGCAAGTGCTGAGTTTAGCTCCTCTTTAACCCGCCCGCCCGCCCACGCTGCCCTGACAGTGAGCACATATGCCCGGTAAAGCCACAAATGGAGCGTGGAGGGCACTGACGGGCTCCCCCTGCACAGGCCGTGGCACCGAGCGAGCGCTACGGGAACGCCAGCGGGGGAGCCTTCGGGGGCATCACGGCCGACGAGCAGGTCCCGGCTGTCCTCGTGGGAGAGCTCGTCATGACCACCTTCCTGGTCCTGGTGGTCTGCATGGGCACCGTCAACGGGAAGACCAAGACCCCCCTGGCACCGTTCTGCATCGGCTTCGCCGTCACGGTCGACATCCTGGCAGGGTGAGCTCCTGAGCCCTGTGCCCGTTCCTGCCGGGCAGACGGTGCCATCCAGTGCCACCACTCCAGCAGCTGATGTCACCAGGCAGGGGGTCAGGGTGGGACCACTGGCTGTGGGGATGGAGCTGGTGCTCAGAGCCCCAGGGGCAGCTCTGAACACCCGCAGTCAGGGCTCCCCTGCTCAGCCAGCTGAACTGTGCCCCAGGGAGGAGAGTGCCTGTGCCTGGGGTGGGATGGGGTGGGGTGGGATGGGACATGCCCTCATGCAGCACAACACAGGCCCTGCTGTCCAGGGAAACTGAGATAAGCTGGGCACACCAGGAAGGAGTCAAATGGGCCCACTGGGTGCTCTGGCAGTTTTGGGAGAGCCATGGTGTGCAGCCCGGCCAGGCACAGGGGTGTCTGTCAGCTCATCCCAGCGTGTGGCACCGGAGCTGGCGCAGCCATCACGGGCACCAGTGGTGGGTGATAAACCCCAGGTCCTCCTGGGCCATGTTTGCTGTAGGAAGCCCTGAGCAAACAGGAGAGGGTTTATGTCCTTCATGTCCCCATGGCTGCTGGAAGTGCTGCCAAGCTTGCAGCTTTCTCCATGTGTCGGGAGAGCAGCCCAGCTCCGGTGCCACTGTGATGGGATAATGAGCACATGCAATTAGGAATGTTAAGGGGGTGTTGGGCTAAGGCAGTGCCCACCTGCTCTAGTGGGACCCCGAGCCCATGTTTACACACAGCACAAACCTCTTGGCAAATATTTATCACTTGCAGTTTTCTTTAGCCTGTAGTTGCTTCCATCCCCATCCCCTGCTCCACAACCTGTGCATGGCATGGAGCCAGCCTGTTTGACAGCCTGGCTCCTGGGATGCCCCAAAATAAAAGCACTGGTGCTTTTACCTCACTCTGGGTTTTCCCCAGTAACTTACCAGTGCCATGAGTGAAGGCTGGTGCTGGTGAGTGGCCACTCCCAGGGCTGGTCCCTGTGTGGCAGCTGAGCAGCCACACGAGTCTGGGCTGCCAAGGAAAACCATCCCCATGACCAAGCAGCCGTGCTGGGATGGGACCAGGGTGGTCTGAGCCAGGGGATGGTGCTGGTCCCGTGTCCCCCCCCAGTGACACAGCTGCTCTGTTTGCATTCCAGGGGCGGCGTGTCCGGAGCCTGCATGAACCCTGCCCGAGCCTTCGGACCAGCTCTGGTGGCAAACTACTGGGACTACCACTGGGTTTACTGGGTAGGGCCCATGGTTGCTGCCCTGCTGGTTGGTGTGCTGGTGAGGTACGTGGTGCCTGTGGCAGGATGGGGGGAGCAGGGCCGTGCAGACTGACCCCCTGTGCCCCCTGTGCTGCTGCTCTGCTCCCTGCACCAACACTGCAAGCAGACACTTTTCCAGAAAGATGTCCAAGGGCTGGAAAGTCCTTTCCCTTTTCCTTCTCATGAGGACAGGATGACAGCAGAGTTCCAACCTGTGTCCAAATCCTTGTGTTTGCTCCATTCATGTCTTGCATGGTGAATCCAGCTCCGACTGGTGCTGGGCTGCTGCCATTGCCGTGTCCCTGTTGCTCCCTTGCAAAGGCAGAAAGGCTGACCTTGGATTCCTCTCTCTTTTGCCTCCCCAAAGGCTCCTGATGGGTGACCGGAGCACGCGCCTGCTCCTGTGGTGACGCCGAGCACCGGGCCCTGACCTGCTGCGAGCGGGGCTCAGCACAGCCCGTGTGAAACCTCCTGCTCCTGCTCCCTTCTCACCTTCCTGCCTCCCCTCTGCATCTCCCAGGCACCTGTGGCCCAGCGATGGTTCCCCAGATGCTGGAGGGAGGATGGGAGCCCCCAGCCAAGCCGTGGTTGCCAGGGCTCTGCCATGAGACCAGCTCAGCGTGAGCCCCCTCTGAGCAGCCACGGTGCCTGTGGTGCCACAGCCTCCCTTGGCATCACCATGCACAGTGTCCATCCCCCAGGGGTGTCCCTGGGCATCTGCGGTGCCAGAGAGCCCTGTGCCCTCTGGGTGGGCACTGCTGCTCCCCACTCAGGTTGTCCAGGATGTTCCAAGCAGCTCTTGCTCCTGGCCTGCCCCATGGACTATCCCCCAGAGGGGGACATAAGAAGGGAGCTTTGGGGACAGTCTCATCTCTGCCCCTCTGGGCATCAGAAGGACAGGGGTAGGGGGAATTAAACACCCCCCCAGAGCTCAGGGTGGGTCATCCCTCCCCTGTCGGGGGTGGGGCAGGGGCCGAGGGGGGGGCTGTTTGGCAGAGGGGGTGCTGCCACAGGCAGGAGCAGCAGCAGAAGGGAAGCACTGGAGCTGTGTGGGCAGGGGGAGAGGAGCCAGCACAGCAGCTCTGCGTCAGCCGGGCATCCATCCCCTCCAGCAGCTGCCCTGACTCATCCTGCGGCCTCCCCAGCCTCCCCGGGGGCTTCACTGGTTCCCCCCCCCCAGGGGCTTGTTGGGTGGTGAACTGGCACAAGGGTGCCCCTGTGAGTACTCCCTGCCCCAGCCAGGACCCCCTCTCTTCCCTGGATTTAGACCCTCTGAATTTTGCAAATTTTTCACCCTGGAAATGCCTGTTGCTTTCCCAGCCCCTCCCAGCACAGCTCAGAGGTGCCCTGGGCTGGCCCTGGGCAGGGGCTGTGCTGGCAGAGCTGTGCCCCCCACCCTGCCCACGAATGGGGCTGGAGGGCAGGAGGAGGCAGGAGTAGGAGAGGGCCCAGCTGCCCTGAGGGGGGCAATGGCACCTTCCCCAGGGCAGGAGCTGCATGCTGGGCTCGGGCTGTTCCCCTCCCCAGCAGCCTGGAGGAAACCCTGGCGTGAGGCAGATGCTTGTCCCTCTCTCCATGGGCAGCTCCTCGCAGCTGCTGTGACAGGGCAGTTCCCAGCTCTCCCCTGTCCCCGTGGGGTTGGCACAGCCCTGCCAATGTCACCTCTCTATTTTCAGCTTGTTTTCTACTTCCCAGCCTGGGAGGTGACCCACACAGGGACACAGACACAAAGATGTGCTCACAGAGGACAATGCTGTAGAGACACTGGAGCGAGGGAATGCCGGGATTGGAGCACTGCTGGCTGGGAGCTGGGGGGTTGCTGCACCCCTGCCCTGGGCAGCTCTGGAGGGAGGGGGGGGCGTGGGCCCGGGGGCACCCTGAGCTCCAGGTGAGCCCAGGAACCAGCAGCTGCTCACTCAGGAAGGAAAATGATGCAACCTCAGAAGGAGACAAACAGCATGAAGATGTCACTGGGATGGTTGTCATGGCAACACCACAAAAAAATGCCAAACCAAACATGGACCAGAATCACTGTTTCTTCCCCAAAGGGGGCCTGGGGGGAGCGGCTACTGGTGGGAGCTGGTGCTGTGGGGAGTCACCACGGGGACCCCACCTGCCCCTGCTCAGGGTGCAGATCTGTGGGAGCGGGGCTGAGGCCACTGGGCTGTGACGGGTCCCCCCCTTCCCCTTTCGAGAGGATGCTCGGCCCCTCGGCCCCGCAGGAAACGTGCTTGGCTGCGGCTGCCTCTGCACGGGGGGGGCCTCCTGCACCCCCATCCCTCCTGAACTAATCCCTCCTGCACCCCCATCCCTCCTGAACTAATCCCTTCTGCACCCCAGCTCCCTCCTGCACCCCCATCCCTCCTGCACCCCAGCTCCCTCCTGCACCCCAGCTCCGTCCCTCACCCCATCTCCCTGCTGCACCCCTGTACCAAGGCACCTCTCCCAGTGGGTGCAGGAGAGGGGGGCTCAGCAGGACCCCTGGGGCAGTGATGCTGCTGCCTGTGGTCCCCAGGCAGGGGAGGCAGGAGGGGACATGGCCCCGAGTGCCCCCCTGTTTGGCTGCTGCTGTGTTCAGCACATTCATCTTTCGTTTGTCAGGGTGACTTTTGATAAAGCATCTGTAACGCCACGTTGTTTTTCCTTGAGTATTATTAAAGTGCTTAATATATGCTAATTAAATACCAATTAACTTCCAAGCACTTAATGTGCTTTAAGGACATAAAATACATCTCATTCCCATTCAATTAAATTTGCATCAGGCCTGGACACGCGTCTGCACCATGGTTTTTTGGCACACGGATCTCCTGGGATGTTGCCTGGTGTTTTCCAGGTTCTGGGTGCCTGTTGGGGTGGAAATGGCTCCTGTTGGGATGGAGATGTTGCTCGGGAGCAGGGCAGGCACGGGGCCCTGATGCTGTGGGCACTAGTGGAGTCACTAGTGGAGTGGTTGTCACTGAGGTGTGGGGCTGTTGAGGACACCAACACTCTCCCCCCTCACAATGGAAAGCTGGGAGAGCCCAGGGCACTTGAGAGGGATGCCAAAGGCTCTGCAGACGTTGGGCATGTGCTCAGCTGGGCACTGCCAGCCACGTCTGGCACCAGTGCTTTGGAGAAACAGGGAAAAAAATCAGGGTGTGCTCCAGGAGCAGCATCAGAAGGATGTTTGTGTGCCCCTGTCTCTGCCCCCGCCCTTCCTGCGCTCACACTGCAGCTCTTTCACTCTGGATAAACACCCTGGACAGACAGGGAACAGGGCAGTAAAGGCGTGCTCTCCCTGTGGTCGGGCTCCTGGTGCCAGCCCAGCCACAGGAACGCTCAGGTTCTTGGCCATGGCAGAGGCTCCTGCCAAAGCCCCGGGTCTGTGGCACAGCCACCGCTCTGAGCTGCTCGCCCACAGCACGGCTGGCACTGGCTGAGCCCGACTCGGCTTGTGGCCCTGACTTTGGTTTCTGGTCCCAGTCCAAGCTGGCTCCCACCCCCCTGTGAGACCCTCGGCCTTGCAGCAGCTCTGGGGGGGTTCATGTCCTGCCCTGTGCCCCCACCCGCAGCCGGTCCCTGGTCCCTGGTTGGTGGCCGTGGGCACACGGCCGCTGGCAGCTCCTGGCACTGCAAGTGCTGATGTGCGGCCCGGGAATGTGGGAATGAACGGCTGAGCCTCCCCCCTTCCCCAGATCTGCTGCACTGCAGCCCCCCCGGAACAGGGAATTCCCAGCTGGGGAGCTGGGGGGCACGAGAGGCAGCACTGGGTGCCCCTGCCCTGGCACAGAGCTGGGCAGGAATCACTCTGTGCCCACGCCCAGGGCAGCACAGCTCAGCCTGTGCCAGGGGCTGCTCCTGGCGAGCCCAGACACTGGCACACAAGTCCCTTGGCTGGGAAGATCCAGCTGGATGCCCGAGCACCTCTGGTCTCGCCTGCAGGAGGGACAGTGGGGAGACAGGGGCTGAAGGAGGGATAACTGTGTGTCAGCAACAATCAGGCAACGAGGAGGAACCACAGGGCCGGGAGCTGGGCGAGGCTGTCCCCGTGGTGGGGTTGTCTCGGTGCCGGGCCGTGTTCCTGCACAAAAGGCTTTTCATCCAGGCAGAACAACACCCAGCTGTTTCCTGTGCCTGCTGCCTGCCTGCCCTCTCCTGCAGTCTGGAAAGGAGGAGCTCCCAGAGTTTTCCCTTCCAAATCCTTCTCCCAACAGGATTAGGGGGGCTGCCAGTGTATTCCCCCAAAGCCTGGTCTTAAAATAGCAGCACCCCTGAGCAGAGGCAGCACACTGAGGTGCCCAAATGTGGCAGGGTAGGATGGATGAATGCTTTCAGAACATGCCCCATGAGAGCATCTGGGAATTCTCCCGTTGCTCGGCTCTGAAGGTTTTCTGCAGCTGGAGAAATCACAGCCTGAAAAGGAAAGGTGAATGAATCCTTTGAGCCCATTTTGCCCGTCGGGTGGATCCGCAGTGGCTGCGGAGGGCGGACCCCGAGCTCATCCCCCAGTGTCTGTGCCAGCCCTCGGCGCTGCCCGAGTGCCACGGGGAGCTCCCGGGGGTGCTCAGCCGGGCCGGGGTGCTGGGTGGCTGCGTGGGCAGGGCCGGGGGCGCGGGGACAGTGGAGGTGGGTGGGCGCTGACGTGCGGAGCCAGCGCTGCGCGTGAGCTGGCAGCTGCATGTAGGAGCCGGGAGCGAGGGATGGAGGAGTGGGAGTCGGGATGCATTCTGGGGAAGCTTTTACAGCCACGCCATCAGCGGGCACAGGGATGGGGATGGGCTCCTGCCCTCCTGGCCTTGGATGAGGACTGTGCCCCCAGACTGGGCATCATCCCTCATGGCTCTGCCACGTCCCTCACCGCTGTGCCATGTCCCCTGATGATGTGCCATGTCCCCTGATGATGTACCATGTCCCTCGACACTGTGACGTGTCCCTCACTGTTATGCTATGTCTCTCATCACAGTGCCACGTCCCTCACTGCTTTGCCATGTCCTTTGCTGCCATGCCAAGGCCCTTGGCACCATGCCATGTCCCCCATCACCGTGCCATGTCCCTTGCCACTGTGCCACCATGCAGCCCCGGAGCACTGTGCCAGCCTCCACTGCTGCATCTGCTCTCCTGCCCCGAGCAAGGCCCCCGAGCTGGAGCAGCCCCACCACCACCCATCAGCAGGTATGCAAAGAGCACTAACGAGCCTCCCCACCACATGCAAAGCTCCGAGGCTCCTGCCAGAGACCTGAGCTGTTGCACGGGGTCAGGGAGGGACATCTCCAGCTCCCCCTCCCCCAGTGGTCCCAGACCTGTTTCCCACAGCAGAGCAGGAGAGGCTCTGGAGCATGGAAAGGAAAGGAAGTGTGGAGAGAGGGGATTATTTCCTCCTTCCCACCCTGCTCCTGTTTCTACTCCTCATTCTCTCGATCTTTCATTTCTTATTGGCATAGGCCACCCACTTGGGCTCCCCAGGGAGCAGCTGGCACAGAGATGTGCCCCTGGGACCGGGGCAGTGTGGGAGCCGGGACCCCCGGAGCCCTGCTTCCCCTTGGAGCCCTGCTTCCCCCAGGAGCCCTGCTTCCCCCCGGAGCCCTGCTTCCCCCAGGAGCCCTGCTTCCCTCAGCTGGAGAGGGAAGAGAGCTGCTGCCGGCAGCGGGGGCTGCACCCCCTCCCTGCACCCCCGCTGACATCCAGCCTCTCTTTCCCCAGCTCTGAAGTGTTTCTGTGCCCGGCATTGCTGAAGGATTTACATTTTAAAGGGGGTTTAAAATGGATTTGGGCGGACATTTATTTCCAAGTGTTATTTTTTCAGCATTTGCCACTTTGAATGTTTGTGAAGAGGAAATAACAGACAGAAACCACAGCAGGCAAAGCATTGGAGAACTCACTTGTGCTCATGCAAATGTGGTGAGAGTGGCAGTCTGGGCTCAGACAGGTAACCCTGAGGGACGGCTGAGTGTGAGGGTAGTGGTGGAGGTGTGTGAGCAGCCTGTGGTCCTGCTCCTGGGGCCATGGATCCCTCCAGGCTCCTCTGTCTGGATGTGCACCCTTCTCCCATGCCAGTGGGGATGGATCAGGTCAGGGGGCAGAGAGCAGGCAGGAACCCCCTCACCCAAGCTCAAAGCTGGCCAAGGAATCACTGCCCCAGGAGACTCCCCTTCCAGCCCTTCTGTTGTCCCCAACACAAAGATTTGCTCACAGCCACTGCACCAGCAGGACCCCAGGGAGTGGGTTTTGCTTCAACAACGAGAGTTCCTTTCTCTCCTTGCCGTGTTCCTCAGCTTCTGGGCGATATCAAACCTCCAGTTGTTTCTAGCAGTGAGGACCCCGAGCAGCAGGACCTGAGGGTGGGGAGGTGCTCCAGGCACGTGTCACCAGCCCTTCCCACACTGGAGCCAGAGGCGTGAGGGCGCCGGAGCCGTCTGGAGCTGCCGGCCGGCTGGAGCAAAGGCTCGGCGGAAGGGGAATGCTAATCATGTTCTGTGCTGGCAACAGCCAGAATGCTGCACAATAAATAGCCATTTTAATTACTGCACAATATTTACAAGATTGCTTCCTCATTTGGGAAATTAAAACAAATGCTCCATCAAAATGATCAACACGATACAGTAAAGCACAGGGCTGATAAAGGAATCCATGGGCTGCTAATCGAGGAGGAATTAGCACCTCGGTGCTGCCTCCTCTGCTGTGCGACCACAGTGGGGAGGTGGCAAAGAGCCTCGGCAGTGCCGGGTGAGGTGGAGCAGCGGGCCCTGCTCTGGGATCCCCGCATCAGGGTCATCTCCTCGGGGTCCCTGTGCTGGGGTCCCTGCACGGGCTCCTTGCACTGGGGGCTCTGCATCAGGGTCCCTGCGATGAGGTTCCTGCACCAGGGTCCCCACACTGGGCTGCAGGGGGTGGGGGGCAGGACCAGCAGGGTTTGGCAGCTCAGCCCGAGTGAGGCGCAGCCAAAAGGGGACCCGGGAGGTCTGGGCAGGAGCTGCTGAGCTGCTGAGCTGCCCAGCGCCGCTCACGGCGCGGGTTTGGTTTCTGAGCAGTGGACGTGGCACCGTGCAGTGCCGGGGGGTGACCGTCCCCTGCCCCAGCAGCGGCGATCCTGCCGGTCGGGGGGTGCCGGGCTCGGGTCCCTCCCTCCCGGACCTGTCGGTGGGCGCAGGGGTTGTGCCGGGTCCCCTCCGTGGTTCACGCACCCTGAGCCTCCCCCGGCGTGGCGGGGATGTCCCTGTGGGGAGGGGGTGGCCTCTGGGTACAGAACCCCCCCCCGCTGCTCCTCCCCCCGCCCCCCCCCTTCGCTTGCATGCCGGACCCGCGCCGCCCCATTCTGGCTCTTCCCTCAGCTCCTTTTCCCGTCTCCTACTTTTTTTTTGCAGCCTTTCCGTTGCCGTGGGAACGGTGACATCCCGAGCCGGGCGGAGCGGAGGGAGCGCGGATGCCCGGGGCCGCCCCGGACACGGGCGGGGGTCCCACGGCTGCGGGATCCCACGAATGGGGGCGTCCCACGGGCAGGGAACTCCCCTGAAGCATTCCCTTTCCAGCGAAAAGAGCAACGGAATTTAATTACATTTAGGTACCTGCTGCCAGACCAGCGAGTCCTTTCAGGAGAGGAAATTCTGCCTGGAACGAATCGGGCTGGGGACGGGGGAAACGGCAGGATGGCCCTTAATATCCAAATGTGCGGTGACAAAGGAGCTCGCAGGGCCTGATGGAAGTGATCCAGGCTGAGTTGGGATTGTGGAGAATTCACCGCCCTGGAGCAGGGAGGATGCCTGGGAAGCACAAGGTGACATCTTCAGGATTGTCCTCTGCCCCAGGGGTAGGGAAGCAACTGAGTTTCATGGGGAGACTGGGAAAAAGAATAGAGAAGGAGAGCAGTGTGACCTCTGTGAGATGTTCACCTGAGCACACCACAGCAGCCCCGGGCTGGGCCCAGCCAGAGCGTTTGCCATGGCCTGGTGTCCAAGGAAAAACCACCTGGAGACAGGAGCTTTGTGCCCACCCAGACGTGCCCTGCCCGTTCCCAGGTGCTGCAGAGCTCCCAGCTCTGAGGGCAGCAGGAAGGAGCTGGAGGAGCTGTGGTCGATAGGGAAAAGCCAGAAAACAATTTACAGCTTCCTGCAGATGGCAACTGGTACGATCTGGCTGACAAACACAGATGAGCAAGCGTGAGGGAGGGATAAATAAACCTCAGAGCTCATGGAGTAAAACAACCTGCTGTGATTTACTGCAGAGAATTCCCACTCGGCCAGTGCTGGCTCCCTCCCCTCCCCTGCACTGGGGTGGGCAGTGTGAGGGGCTGGGGCAGGACCCTGGCACCCAGGGGACACCCTGGGGCCACTGGGCATCCACATCCTCCCACCTGCTGCCCCGGGGATGCCCTTGGGGCCAACGAAACCCAAGAGCAGCTGAGGCACTGCTGGCCCAAACCAGCCCCAGTCATTTCGTTAGAGAGGAGGAAAAGCCTCATGCAGATGTTTTCCATTCCAGAATTCTCTTGGTTTCTTAACTGGTCTTTCTGGGGGATTTTTTTTTTTTTAATGAAACTTTTTCAAATATTTCTGGAAATTCATCAACAGGTAGCTTGTCCTCTGTCTGCAATTTTTTTTCATTGCTTCTCCTCCTGGAGACGACCTGTAGGGACGAGCCTCAGGGACATGGTGCCACAGCTGAAGATGGCAGTGCTGTCAGTGGTGAAGCCGGGGTGAGCTCCCAGGGTCACCTCTCCTTGGAAGGAAGGGGGATGTCACAGCTGTCACAGGGTGTTGGGGATTTTCCAGTGACACAAATCCATGTGTAAGGAAGGATCCACAGCCTGGCAGCCACCAGCAGTGGGGGGACATGTCAGCTGGAGTGGGCTCAGTGCCTGGGGAATGGGGGTGTGCCAGCTGAGCAGGGGCAGCCACAGTCCTCACTGAGGGCAAGTGTGTGTGTGTGTGCTCAGGCTGTCGAGGGTGAGGCCACTGAGAAGGCAGAAACAGCAGGAAGGAGAGGAATGGAGAATGGAGGAGGGAGACCCTCATCCCTGGCTGGAAAGCCTCCACAAGCCCCCTGCCCAGGCACAGTCCCACCCACTGAGGGGCAGGGGAGGGTGGCCAGTGGGACATCAGGGGCCAGAGAGGCAGGACCTTGGCATGTCTGGCCCACAGCTCCTGCCTGCCTGCTCCCCCTCAAGCTGGAATAATTTCCACTGGAAAAAAAACCCCATGAGATAAATGCAGTGAGAAACAGCAAACCCCACCCGGTGCTAACGGGCCTGTGCTTCATCCCAGGCTTGTTTGTGCTGGGGAAAGACTAGAGCAGCTGGAGAGAGCCAGGAGTGGAGCTGCTGGGGAAAGGGAGCAGGGCACGATGCCCCAGCAGCACAAACCAAATGAGCCCCGTGCTCACTTGGAGGAACCAGCAGGGAAGAGCCAAGTGATTTTCTGTGGAGCATCTGTGTGCAGGGATTTACGTGCCCAGGGCAGACCAATGGCCGTGCCAGGATAAGCTGGGAGTGGACAAAGGCCAAAGCCATCACAGGAACATCCATCCATCCATCGGAGGATTTCCATATCCCATGATTTCAGGCACCCAGGAGAGAGGATTCTTGACAAAACAGGCTCTGGAGCATCCCTGGGTACATCCCTGCTCACAGCTGGGCCCCTTGGCACCCGTGGATGTGGAGCAGCAGAGAGTGGCTGTAAGGGAAGGGGTTGCTGGCTCGACTGAGAGGAAAACCCTCCCAGGCAAAGCTTAATGAAGAAATCATTGTGCAGGGATCAGCTCTGTGCTGTTAATGAGCCTCGTTGTTATTTAAATGAGGCTCCTGGCAGGGCTGGGTGAAGAATTCATCATCAGATGATTTTTCTGAGAGATGTGATGAATGATGGATATAAAACCAGCCATCCCTCGGGAGAAGGAGGCTGCAGAGAAATCCAGCTCCTGGGGGAGAGCAGCTGGAGTTTGCCATGGCACAAGCAGAATTATTTTGCAGCCCAGAAGAGGCAGGTGCTGCAGCCTCAGCCCAGGGATGGGAGAGGGTTGGTGGCTTTGCTCTGCCTCCAGAACTGGGCTGTGTTACCAGGCTGTTCCAACCTGGCCTTGGACACTTCCAGGGATCCAGGGGCAGCCACAGCTTCTCTGGGCAACCTGTACCAGGGCCTCCTCACCCTCACAGGGAAGAATTCCTCCCCAGTATCCCATCTAGCCCTGCTCCCTTGATCTGTCCCTCCATCCATTGTCCCATGGCCCTCTCCAGCCCTGTGGGAACTCCTTCAGGCACTGGAAGGGGCTCTGAGCTCTCCCCAGGGCCTTCTCTTCATCATGCATCAGCTCGAGCCCATCACTCACAACTCAGTGTTGCTGCTGTTCAGTTTGGGTCTTGCTTTCTTTACCCAGCACAGAAATGCAATGCTGTCCTTAAATCTCCAAGTTGTTTCCTGGCTGCCCGGGGCCCAGAGCTCCCCTTTGCACCCTGGTGACACATGTGGAGGTGGCAGTGCCCCTGTGCTCCTGCCACCACACCGACCTCACCATGCACCAACCCAGCCTGGACGGCAGCGGGAAATCCCCCCCTGCACGGGAGCAATAGCAGGAGGGATCAACAGCACTTCCCCAAGAGTCATAGGATATGGAAGTCACTTGTTGATCAGATGGTTTGGGAACCAAGCAGCAAAACCCCAAGGATTTTACCACAAACTTTGCTTAACCAACTGTGCAGGAAGGCAGTTTGATGTGGGCCGTTTCTGGGTACATGAAACAGAATTAATTTGTTCTCCCTGAGAGCCAGCAGCCAGGAATATGAAATATTTAAACAGCCTAACCATGTTTGGGATGTGCCGAGCCATGCAAGCACCCGATGTACCTCTGCTTCCTGAGCACACAGGGTGGGAAATTCAGGGTCTGCAGCTTTTGGGAAGGGTTGGTGCCTGTGCCCCTCACCAGAGGGGGCAGAGGGTGTACAACCATTGGGCAGTGAACAACACGAGCTCCTCATCTCATTTATTCATCTGCAGCGAGCTCTGCCTTGAGGAAGGAGGGAGAAATGCTGTTGACTCTGAAGAACAGGGATGTATTTACACAAGCCCCCAGCACCAGGCACTGCAGGTCTGTGTGCTGAACTGGGAACAGGCTGACTGCTTTGGCACAGGCCTGCTGCCCCTCACAGCCCGGGAACTGCATCCCCAGGACATCCTTGCTCCTCAGCTTGCTCCTGGGTGTCCATGAGTGCTGGGCAAAGGAGCACAGACTGTCTGGGAGCCTGGAAACAGGAGACGAGCTCTGCTTCGGCAGGAAATGGTGTTCCCTGGTGCAAAGGGGAGATGCCATCCTGCCTGCCCTGCCCCACACGGGTGGGCTGGGGGAGATGGAGCCCTGTTAACCACTTACTGCAGCCCCTTCAGCTGCTCGTGCCCTCCTGCCCCTGGGTGGAGGGTCAGCCTGTGCCAGCTCTGCCAACCACTGCATCACCTGCTCCCAGGGGGCCATCAGGGCTGACATTCCTTTGTTTGCTTTGCCCAGGTTTCCTCCTCTCTTCCCAACACACCTGGCTGCCTCTGCTCCCTCAGTATGACCCCCGTGGTGAGCAGAGGTGGTCTGGGGGCCATGGCCAGCTGGAGCCCACCGTGCCCCACGGCAGCTCTGCCACTGCGGGCAGTGATCCCGATGCCCCCGTGACAGCCTGATTCGACCCCTCTCCGTCACATCCCTGCATCCCAGAGCTGCCAACTGTTCCTCATCCCTGCTGCCGGGGGAAACAAGGCTGCTGGAACAGTCGGGAGGAGGGAAATGGAAACGATGGATTTCTGCATCCAAGAGTGGAGCAGGGGCTGCTCCGGCCGTGCCCTGCCCCTGCCTCTGCGGCTCCTCCCGCGCTCCCCGGCCCCTCCTGAGCTCTCTGTGAGCTCAGGCACCAACACTTGGGCTTCCTCTCCACAGCGGCTGCTGTGGAGGATCTCCTGCCGCCGGTGGGTGGGGAGCTGGGTCTCTCCTCACACGAGTGCAGCATCTCTCTCCCGCTGCATCCTCGCTGCACGGAGGCCGTGGAACATGGAAAACTGTGAAAGCAGAAAGGGAGAAACCAGCACAGCTGATGTCACCCTGCTGCGGGGGGGCTGCCTGTCACCCCTTCTGTCCCCAGTGTCCCCATAGGACCCAGGGCAGAACCCCCTCCCCCAGTGGGTGCCCAGTGGGGCCAGTGCTGCCCCAAACCAGGATGTCTCAGACTGCAGCTCCAGCTGTGTCTCTACCCCCAGATCCTTTGCCCCATGATCTCCAGGGCCCCCTGGGCAGCCTCTGAGAGTTGCCTGCTGTGGGCAGTGAGAAGCTCCTCCAAAGTTTGGTGGAACCAGGGTTTTCCTCCTTAGAGGATCCCTATTCCTGCTCCTCAGTGCCCTGTCCCACATCCAGGGTCTTTGTTCCTATTCCAGTATCCCTGTTCCTGCTCCAGGACCCCTCTCCTGGCCTTGGCCCTCCTGGCATGTGGAGTGGGGGCAAGAGGACATCCACAAACGGATGTGGAGGCTGCTGAGACACCTTTATATCTAATTAGAGTCGGGCTCTTCCTCCACCTGTTTCCTGTGGTGGATTTAGGTCCCGAAGAAAAGAAAGCTGAAAAAAAAGAGCCGAATCTGTTCTCCAGCTTCTTTGAATTCTTTAGAGGAAGCCAGTGTGGGCACCAGGGAAGCAGCATCCCCACATCAGCAGGAGGCTGGAGGCTGCAGGCGCTCGCTGTGCTCCCACACCCGCCGCTGCAGGGGTTCCTGCTCGTGTGGAGGCAGAGCTTGCCTAGGAAATGGGGAGAATTCACCTTGGTTTGGGGGATTTGGGGGATTCTGCCTCTTTGCTGAGCTTTGGGGCTGGCTGACTCTCACCAGTGTGGGCTCTCACCCAGTGTGAAGCGAAGCTGTGGTGCTGGAGCTGTGGGGCAATGGCAGCGGGTACCTGACCTGAACCCCTGGGGATTGTGAGCCGGGGCTGGGGGATTTGGCTGGAAAGGGCTTGTGTTCCTGGCCTCCTCCCCCCCAGCCCTGCAGCCTCACGCTGGGCTCTCTGCTCCCACATTCCCCAGCCCAGCCCTGCGGCGCTCGGCACCTTCCCTTCCCCAGAGCAGCTCCTCGCTGCCGGGTGGGAGGATGAGGTCCCTTCCTCAGGATGTGAATCATGTCTCTCTGGGAGTCTGCTCCTGCACCCGCTGTCTCCCGCGGAGTGGGGCTGCTCTCCCGCCCCCCGCAGCGGAGGGAGGCTGCAGATCCGCCGGGAAAGGCGAGCTGGGATTTGACAGCTCCGTGGAGAGCCCTGCGTGGCAAGGAATGGGGTCACCACTTGCCCACACCACCAGCTGGGTTTTGGTGCCCTCCTGTATAGATGGAGGGGAAAACAGGACCAAAACCTGCACTTTTATGGAAATGGGAATGAATTGGGCTGATTTCCCCTCTGCTCCACCACTGTGCTCCCCTGAGAGTGAGGGTTCAGGGTTGTTTGTGCTAGTCCCTCGTCACACCTGTGGGGACTTCACTTGCATTAATAAATATAACAGTTTCCTTAGAGGAAGGAGCTGCTGGGATGTTCATCCCAACATTTCAAAGTGCTGAGGGGATCTGGATCCTCAGCTTCCGTGAAAATTAACACGGTCATGAAAATCCTGCCTTTAACATGACATGACTCAGAGTGCACTAAGTAATGAAAAGGGTAAAGTAAGGTAATATGATGTAAACTAAGGAAAGAAGAAAGCAATCCCCTGAGAGCAGGAACTGGTATCTGGCTTTTGTGCTCCTTGGCCCAGCAGTGACAAAAGGTTGTGCATTATTATCATGATTATTTATACTCATAGGGGCAAACTAAAGCCATATTCTCTGGGTTCCACACACAGCAGCTATGCAGGGAAATGGGAACATACAGTAAAAGAACAACAAAGGAGAAACAGGCAAAGCCCAGAGTTTACAATTAAAATGAGTAGAATTCAGCCTGGTGTGGCTACATGAGCAGTGCAGCAGCACTGAGGGTAACACACCACTCTCCTCGTGAAAGTACACGGGGCAGGAGTCCAAACGCCCCGTTATTATTTCCATTATCGCTCCGGTTCCTTTCCATGCAGGAAGGTTGTTTCTGCTGCGCAGGTTTCTGTGTGTGAGCCCGCAGGGAACGGGGCTCCCGGGGCAGTGGGGACCCCGCAGCAGGGCTGGCACTGTGATGGGCACAGAAAGCATCCCCTGCAGCCCCCACGCTCTCAGCACGCCAGGAACCTTCCCTTCATTCCCTCCCGACACGAGCACAGCACGAGGAGGGACGTCTGCAATTTATTTCTCCTTCTTAGCAGGAAAATCAGATGGTGCTGGGAGCTGGTACCAACCTGCCTGTTTCTAGCAGGGTGACATCAGCAGGACAGGTCAGCCACGTGTTATTACTGTAATGAACCATTTAAAGCAGCAATATAATAACAGCCCTGGGCCTATTTTGAGAAGCCTCCTGGGCATTTAATTCCATGGAGGGAGAGGGGCTTTCTTCAGAGAAAGAGCACGTAGGATGGATCCCAGCAGAGCAGGGATGGTCTTGGGCCCCAAAGGGAGAGGATCACGTGGCCACAGAGCCAGAATTAAATCCCACAAATGAGACTTTAGAAAGATCTGTTGTTCACAGAATTATTTTTGTGGTTATGCTTCCATTGAAGGTGTCTCCTGTTTTGATTTGAATTCTTATTTCCTCAGTGCCCAGACCAGGATGATGCAGCACGAGGTGGGCACAGGGAAACCTGGATGTCAGAGGAGACAGATGGATCTGATTTTCCGTGTCTGTTGGTGCCGGCAGGGAGTGAGAGAGACGAATGGTGGATGTGGTTGGAAAATTCCTCCATGCCAGCCAGCTGAGGTGTTTGCAGTGGGTTGGGTAAAAGAAGATCATTATTCCAACTGTAAGTTTAAAAAATCATTCAGAGAGGACCACTGAGCTGGTCAGGTTTGTGTCCCTGTGCCCGTGTGTGAGCCCTGGGAGTGTGGCCCTGTATGGGCTGCTCATGGCCATGGTCCTGCTGCCCCAAGCCATGATCACTCCAGTGCCCGGCCTGGCATGGAGCCCTGCCCCTCCACTGTGTCTGAGCTCCTGCCTGGATCCCCTCCGGACTTGCTGCCCCTGCTGCTGACTCGTGTTGTGCAGAAGATCAAGGTAGAAAAAAATAATTCTGGCCTTAGCAGTGGGAGGTCTGGGACTCCCGAGGGAGTCGGGGAACACGTGTCATTGTCACTGCCAGCCCTGCCGTGGGTACTGGGGTGGGTATCTGAGGTGGGTGTCGGGGAGGTGCCACCACAACTGGCATGAAGTCGGGACTTCCCTGGCTTTATCGTTGTTTTTGCTGTTCTTGTTACCGTCGTTATTACCGCCATTGTTAGTGCGCGTCTGTCTCCCGCCGGCTCTGCGGGCTCCAGCGCTGTCTGCACGGGCAGCGGGAGCTCACCGTGTCCCTGCCCGGCCGGGCCGGGGCCGTGGTCCCGCCGCGGTGCCCGCGGGGCCGGGGCAGCATCACCGCGGGGATGTAGATGCTGTATGCAAATGAGACGGCGGGCTAAGCCCCGCCCACTGCGCCCCGCGAGGGGCGCTATTCAAATGACATGCAAAGCACGGGGGGCGGGGCCACGGCCGGACGGGGGGCGGGGCTTGTTCATGTGGAGAGCGCTGAGGGGCGTGGCCTGGGATGCAGATGAGGGGCGGGGCGGGCGCCGTATGTAGATGAGGGGGCGGGGCCGCCCGGGCGGGTGTCGGAGCCTCCCGCCGGCTGCGGGAGCGGCACCGAGCGGCAGCGGGCCCGGCGGGCACCGAGCCCCGCACAGCCCCGCACAGCCCCTCCGGGCCGGGCCGGGCCGGGCCGGCAGCCCCCGCACAGCATGGCCGAGCCGCCGGCAGCGCCGGCCCCCGAGGGCGAGGAGGGCCCGGTGCGCTTCGCCCGCAAGGGCGCCCTGCGGCAGAAGAACGTGCACGAGGTGAAGAACCACAAGTTCACGGCGCGGTTCTTCAAGCAGCCCACCTTCTGCAGCCACTGCACCGACTTCATCTGGTGAGCCCCCCCCCATCCTCCCCAGGACCTCCCCGCACCCCCCCGGGACCCCCATCCCGCTCCGGGACGCCCGTCCTCGCCCAGCCCGCTGGAGCTCATCCTCGCCCGCCTCCGGGCACCCCTTCCCCTCCCGTCCCGTGTCCCCTCATCCCCCCGCATCCCATCCCGGTCCCGCCTGCTCCCGCCGGCCGCTCCGGGCAGGGTGGTTGCGGTGCCGGTGTCTCACTCCGCCTCTCTCTCCGCAGGGGTTTCGGCAAGCAGGGCTTCCAGTGTCAAGGTGAGTGTCGCCGTGCCGGGGGGGCTGGGGGGATCCGCACACCGTGTCCGTCCCCCGGGACCGGCCCTGAATATCCCCGCGGCACCCGAGCAGCATCTCCGCGGCACCGTCCCCGAGCATCCCCGCGGAGCCGGGGAAGCAGCTTAGTCATTTTTTTAATCAACCGAGCAACTGGTCGCTGCCTTTAAGCCGGTCGGGTTTCGTTTCCAGAGATAAGCGCCCAGGACTTCAGCGAAATCCCCCGAAAAAGGCAGAGGGGACTTGGTTTTTAATGAACTTAACAGGAAAACATGTGTTTGGCTGGCAAACGGGCTGGGTGAGGGCTCCTCTAGGGCTGGAATTGCGCAGCCTGCGAGGACTTGAATGGCTTAGTTGTGTTGCTGGGGAAAGAAATGAGGCTTTACAACAAAATATGATGCAGTAGCTGGGTTACTACGACCAGAATTCTTTGTTCTGATAATGCTGGGATTCTGGAGGGGCTCTTTAGGGATTGGTGATGTCCTCTCGGGAAATTCGGATGAATTAGCCAGGCGTTATCTGGTTGCTCTCGTTGCCAGCCCAGCTGTGAGCTGTTCCTGCCTGCAGCTCATCCTGCCCTGTGGGTCCCACCTGTGTGGGGTCCAGGTCTGGCTGTGGGGTTCAGATGGGGCTGGTGCTTGCAGCTGCTGGCAGTGAAATTTTGCTCTTGTGAATATTTGGGACAGAGTTTTATTTTGGCGGGTGGCTGAATCCCAGGTGGAGGTATTTGGCATGAAAACAAACTGGCTGTAGAGCACTAATATCTCCAGAACTGCTCCTCCTGGCAGCTGTCTGGGTTGTGGTGTGGCACAGAGCCCAGGCTCAGGGTGCTGTGGTGGGTCTGGATCTCGAGGGCAGCTGTACCTGCAGGCAGGAGGGCTCTGTCTTGGGTGCTCTCAGGAGCATCTCTGCAGATGCTTGTACAAGCAGTGTAAGTCTAATCCAATTTAAATGATGCTGGTACTCATCCTTAACACTTGCCCTAGGAGTATAACCTTAAAATACCAAAACCATCTCCCTGCTGCCTCCCAGACCCCCACCCGAAGGCCTGGGCAGGTGTTGGCAAGCAGTGGAAAGCAGACATGGAGACTAAAACATGTCCTAGGGCTGTTTCTCAAGGTCACAGCTTCCCCTGGTACCTGAGGTTTCACACATGGGCAGTTCAGTCACATTACTCAGAGGAGTTTTGTGCAGCTTGTATCTCTGTTGTGGCTCTTCCCAGCCTTACCTGGCTGTTCATTCCCTGGCTTTCCTCACAGTGCAGGGATATTCGTGCAAACACAATGTCCCTGAAATTTGGAGTGTGCTGGAGAAGCTGGAGGGGACCATGTGCTAGCAGGGCAGGGTTTTCCTGCATTATTTCTAGAGCTTTGCTCAGTTCTACCTATAACATCCAGGGCTGGATAGCTGGAGCCTTTCCAAGTCTCATCCAGCTGTCAGGAACTATTATCCAAACCTGGAGCTGTGCTCTTGCTTCAAGGTTTATCCTTACATGTTTGTAACCAGTATCAAATCAGTCCTTAGTGCAAGGCCAGTGGGTGGGTCCATGAAGGTGGTCTCAGAGTTGCCAATGCACAGGTGAAGGGTCTTCCCCCCACCAGCAGATGTTGGGCAGAGTCCTGTCCCTGGGTGGTGGGGCAGGAGCCCTTGTGAGGCTGCAGTGACACCAGTAGCATTTCCAGGAGCGCTCAGTGATGTCTCCAGGGGTGTGTGGCTGGTCTGTGACATCCCGTTCTGCCTCGAGAAACCACTTTCCAGGTGGTTCTGGTATTACAGACATGAAAACCTCCTTACTGTGCAATAGGAGATTTTGCAGATTTGGGTCTGTAGAACAGCCCAGTCCTTCCTTTCCTACAATCAGTGACCTGTGGATTTTCAGACGTCCCTTCTGCGAGGTGCTGAGGTGCCCAGGTGAAGGTGCTCCCGTTGGTGTGGCAGCTGTGTGGGTAATGCCCATCTCAGTGGGGGCACAGAGCAGCTGGTGCCCCTTGGTGGAGGACACACTGTGTCTCCCTGCAGAACACTCCCGGGTTTGGAAGTCGAGCAGGAGGAGAAGTCGCTCCCTCCTGCCATCTGCTCTGGGATCACAGCCACCCCGGGGTGCAGCTCTGGTGGGAGGCAGCACTTGGGGTGCCAGGATTGGCACGCTGCCAGGGGGTCAGGCTGTTCCACCAGAGCCCTGGGTGCCCTGGGTCATGTGGGTACCACCAGCTTTGGGGTTGTGCCCCACAGGTTGTGCTGCAGCTGCTGTTGGACTCGATAAATACTGACACGGAAGCAGAAAACCCCAGGGCTGGCTTTTGTTTAGGGGTTCTTCAGCCCCACAGGGCTGGCAGTAAGCTCTGATGTTGGGGTCTAGCTCCCCCTTTACTGAATGCAGCTTTAATTCAACTTTTTCACAACTTCCCTGAGTATTTTACCTTGTTGTTCCGTGGGATGGCTGGAAATGCAGCTGAGGCACACGCCTGTCTGGGCTCTCAGTTGTTCCTACTGCTGTGCTCACTCTAAGTAGGTTTTCACCTGTGCCCTGATTTCTTTCTAGGGCATTTGCAATAATTAGATTGTTAATTAGCTCATTACTTGTGACTTTTGGCAGGAAGTTAGCAGAAACTGACTCTTTGTATCTTGAAATACTAATGGATACCACAAATGCCACTTAATTGCCTGCTAATCTGCTTCTTATCCTTGTATGCAATCCCCTCCTTATCCTCGTGTGCATCTGAAGACTTCCTGGGCCAACTTCTCTCTCCCAAGCCAGAAAGCCTTTCAGTGTGGGCAGGAGAGGTCTGTGCACAGGCAGCCCAGAACAGGGCTGGTGCTGCAGGTTAACAGAAAATATCAATATGTTGTGGGCATTGGAAGGCTGGAGTGCTGGGGATGTGCCTGGAGCTGCCTGTCAGCCCTTGGCACAAAGGGGCTTCCTGGCCCTGCTGTAAACACCTGCTGTAGCTGGAAGGTGCATGAACTCATCAGTAACAAAGAGAAGGGGGTGTACGTGTTCCCCCCTCCTGGGCTTTGGGATCCATCTGTCCAGTTCCATTACCAGGGAATGCACGAAGAGGGAGAGAGCAGCCCCTCTGATCTGCAGGCTGTCCTGGAGAGGGAACATGTGGCCAGTCCCAGCTGGTGGCTTTCTGTCTCTGTTCTCCTGATGTAGGAAGTGCTGTGAGGATGGTAAAGGAAAGGGAACTGGCTTGAGAGCTGCTGAGCAAAGTTCTTGCTCTTGTTCTCGGAATGTGCTGCTCCTGGGAACTGGCAGCTTTCTCTTTGTCTTTCCTGCTCGTGTTCCCCCCTTGGCATCCTCAGGGTCTGTTTCTCCTGTTGTCCAAGCAGCTCTTGGTCCCTCTGTGGATCAGGGTGCTGGCTGTGCTGGAGATTTGGTGAGGGGATGGGTCCCCAAGAGCTGTCTGCTCGAGCTGGAGTCTCTGTGGCAGCAGCTGGGCTGGGCTGGGCTCTCACCCCGGGGGCCTGGGCAGAGGTGTCCCTGCAGAGGTGAGGAGCCATGTAACGTGATTCACACTTAGGAGCAAAAAATAACCTGCATCTGTTACAGCTTTCACGTGTACAAAGTAGAGAAGATCTTGGAAAGGAAAATCTTGTTTCCTTAAGGGGGGGGGGGGGGGGGGAAGCATCATTTGGTGATGGGTGCTTGGATTTCATGCAGTGACTTTTCTGGGGAGAATGTGTACTTCTTGTCCCTGGTTATGACTCGGTAAGCAAAGACACTCTTCAGATTAAATCTTCCTAAACTTCATACCAAATAGAATTCCTCCCTCCAGCTTTTCCTCTCCCCGTCCTCCAAGGCCAGCGCCCTCGTCTTGTGTTGTGCTTTCACAATTCAACATCCGAGACCAAAACTGAGCAGCTGGAGAATGTCACCCAGGCCTTACCTTTCGAGCAGTGTTTCTCTCTTGCTCTCAGCCTTCACAACCCACCCTTCCTCCCCCTCTCTGCCCTCCAGACGGAAGTGAAACCCATCACACTTCGCTCTGTGCTGCGGGCTGGGCTCCTCACCGTGCACTGCCGGCTCTTATTGACTGCGTTAAGCAAGTAAGAAACAAAAGCAAAACAAACTCCAATCATTCAGAGTTGCCTCAAACCCAGTAATTTCGTGTCAACATATTATGCGCACTGGAGAAATGTTAGTGTTCAAATAGACTAATTAAAAATGTTACTGCAATTACTTTTGCAACACAAATGATGCTAATTATATAATGCTGCAGAAATTGGAAACATGATTTGGTAGGGTTTTTTTGTGTGCCTCGTGGTGATAAGGCAGTTCTTGGTGCTGGAGCCCCGGGGCAGTGGGAGCCCCGGCGTCGGGAGCAGGTACAAATAGAAAGGGGAAGTGGGTCTGGGCCCTGCGCTGCACAGATGGTCTGCGTCCTGCACAACCGAGTGCAAACAGAGCTGACAGGGAAAATGGGAAGATGTGCCCCTTCCCAGGCTGGTTTTAAAGCCTGTCACCTGAGCTGGCTTCCCTAATCCTGCTCTTTCCCGCACTGGATACCTGCGGCTCAGGGGAGGGGCAGGGGGTGGAGATCTGTTTTGGAAGGAGATTTTTGGAGGAAATCTGGACCTGCTGAGGGCAAAGCTGTCGGGCTCAGCAAGGACCACTCTGTGTGCAGGCCCATCAGTGTCCCCTTGCAGTGCAGAAGGGCTCGCTTGAGTCTCTCAGTGGAAGTGGTTTCTCTTTCCCTCCCCCTCTGCTGTTAGCAGGGTAGATTTTTCTTTCTTATCTGCAGAGATAGCTGTCATCCTCCAGCGATCTGGGGCTCGGATAGTGGGGTGGACTCTTTCCTCCCCGGGGTGTCCGTTGCTGACCCGTGGCAGCAGTGGGAAGCTGGGCAGAGGGGCTCAGAGCTTGCCCGAGGGTTTGGGTGCCTTGGGGGTGGCAGGAGGGTTTGCAGCACGTCTACCTGGTGCCTGTGAGCTCTGACTCCACTGCACAGGTTGGATCACCCCGGTGTACGATTATCCTC